TGGACAAGCTAGAGTCAGAATGTGAAGTTAGAGAGATCATCGAGGTAAGTGTTCTGGGTGAGGTGTGCTCTGCTCATAATGTTTGAACATGCAGGGAAGTTCAATGTTCACATCGCATAAACGATTCACATGCAGAGAGCAGATTGGTACTGCATGAGTTTGCTAAACAATAGGCTGTGCTTTGTCCTGAAGTCTGTCCTAGCTGTGGCAGTTCTGGTACTGAGAACTTCTTGAGCACTCTGTTCTGCACATTTTGTATGTCAAGACAGTTTTCTTGGTTAGAACCAGAAATTCAGATGATCCCACATTAGTAGACAACAGATCAGAGGCTAAGGAAAGACTGCCAGCATGGATAGAGAGCTGCTGTACAATCCAGTGTGAGTTCAGTAAGTGAAGCCTGAAGAACTCCCTCAGGCTGCATCACAGACTGCATCAGGATGCTGCTGCTCGTCCTGTCCTTGGAGCTGCCTACTGGTACTTCAGGGCAGAATGCCTGCTGCTGGCAGACAGAGCTAACACAGCCCATGGTAAAGCTGCCTAAGTGGCTTGTGTGGAAGATGAGCTCTGCTGAACCATGGGCTGTTGCATCTGGGGAAGCACGTGGCTGTGACACCTCCCAGTGCTGCAGTCATCTGCAGTGGCTGCCTGAGGCACTGCAGCATGGCTGTGTGTGTGTGTGTGCACTAACTGCCCTTCTTTCTGTGGTTCTTTCAGATATTTGATGGCAGAAAACCCACTGGAGGGAAACTGGAAGTAAAAGTGAGACTCAGGGAGCCCCTCAGCGGTCAGGATCTTCAAACCATTACAGAAAATTGGCTGGTCCTGGAACACTAGTTCCTATATGAGGTATGAGTGCAGCATGTGGAGATGCTCTGGCCATCAGATAAGTTCAGAGCTACGTTCTGCATGGAACAATGCCTTACGATGGCACTGGCCTAATTTACATGGCTTTGATACCATTCATCTTTGTATTTGTGTTGATGTAACTTCAGGGATGAGGTTATAGAACCTGTATCTGATGTCTGTGTATGAAATACACTGTTGTAGTGTTACAGTGTGTACAGTCCTTTTGGACCATGACCGTGCTATGCAAGCATGCAGCAAAACTCAACGACAACAGATGATGTATGAATAGAAACTTTCTAACGAGAAATCCCTCATCTTTCTCTTGGCTTCCTAAAGTTTTTGGGATCCCTGTTCCTTAGCATACCGTTTAGTTCTGATTTCATAAATTAAACTAAACTCATGAGATTCACCTGTTTGCCACGTCACTGCTTCCAAATTGTCTAAGATTTTTGAGGTCCTGTTTCAAAACAGCAGAGTGAATTGGAAGCCCCAGACGAGCTGCCTGGCAGGTGATTTCTTCCTCCCAGCGAAGGAGCTGCTCCTGAGCGTCAGGATGGCTGAGGGACGTGTTGGTGGTGGCACTTGAGGCAGTGCCCTGCCCTTGTGCACTGGCTGGACACACGAGCATTTTCTGTCACTAGAGCTCAATGATTTCGCTCCGTTGACTTTTCTACTTGACAGCCCAGAAACTTCATGTCAGTGTTTTAAGTATATGACCTTGATTGTGAACATCTGTTAGTGCTGCGCCAAGTAATTCCATTTTCTCTTCTTCCCCAGCTCCACAAGAAAGCTGAGATGTGGGATGAACGCGTATGAAGAGAGATGCTGCTAGCTGCAAGCACCAAAGACGTTACCCGAATGCACTACTGAACCTAATGTCTCTTTTGGTAACAGCCATAGTGCTTATTAATAATTCTAAGGCAAATGTAAGGCTCAGAAAATTTGCTGCTGCAGGGTGTTGTTATTTTGTCTACACGAAATAGACAGAATTGCCTTAACGTGGGACTACTAACGTAGCACCAGGGTGAATGTTACATTAACTATGCAGAGTGGTGTGCGGAAGGTTTAGCCCTTAAAAACAAAATTCCCTGAGGCAGCACAGAAACTTTTCAGTCAAGGTCCAGGTAAGGCCTTTCATAGATAGATATATTTTTTGTTAAGCGTACAACACTCAACGCGGTACAGGGAGCAATCTGCAACAGCTTTTTCTGCTTATCATCCACTTTGTTCCCCCCACCCTCTGCCCAGTGGCACTTTCCTGCCACAGAGGGGAGAAAACTCAGGCAGAATTCTGGCAGCAGCATCCCCCTCCTCTTCGCATGCCACTGCAGCAGGAAGTTCAGCTTCTTGGGATGCTGCCTTCCACAAGAGGAGGCTGCAGTGCTTCTTAGCAGCAGGTGCTTACAGATCTGCATTTTTGTTCTGGCTACGCTGTCTGCCGCGCTTACTGCACTGCTCACTGCAGGGCAGCCGGGGTACTGTGCCTTTTTTTGTCTGTTTATTTAAAAAAGAAACAAAGAGATATGCTAGACTGCTGCTTCACAAATGGTCACTGTCTTTTTTTTTACAGAAATAGGCTTTCACAGTTCTTCCAGGTGATGGGAAAACAGCCACTCTGTGGGGTGTAGAAAACGGGATTAGGACTATTTTCAGGAATGCCTTGAATTAGCAGCATACAAAAAAATGGTACCAAATACATTTGTGGGCTTAAATCTCTGCGAGCCAACAGCAATGAGTGACCTCAGAGGAGAGGATGTGCCTCAGCGGGCGGTGCGGCTGCTGGGGGGCTGTGGGGAAGGTGGGGCTGTAGGCAGGAAAGAGTCCGGAGCAGTTGGGCAGTGCTGCCTCTGTCTTCCTGAGCAGATGAAGACAATACAGTATTTAGTTTTTAATTTCAATAAATTTAATATACAAAACTACATGTTGAAAATAAAAATATAATATGCAGTTTTTTGCAGTGTTAACTAACTGAATTTTAAAAGTACAATTTTTTTTCTAAAACAAGTACTCATTTCTTAACAACATGGTAATTAAGGTCATTTAAAAGGCTATGGTTGAAGCAAACATGTCAGTCACCAGTTGATAGTGTTCTGCACAAACGTAACCCAAACTTAAATGACTTCTGGGGCAAAGGAAGAGAAGATCAACATTTCTCACCTCTTTTACTGCATCATTAAGCAGGACAATGCAACTGAGGTAACTGGGAAGCTGCTGCTGTGGCAAAGCTGGAGTGCAGGCTATAGGAGGAAGGGGTTTTTTTTTTTTACTTTGTTTACAGAACTCTCTTCCAGATACCAAATCTTGCCTACACCACGCAGTGCTGCGCTGTGCAGCAACATGGGCAGGAGGGAGGCTGAAAGTAACCTTAGTCCTGCTCCACTGCACAAATACACAGGGAGGCTTTTCATTGCTTAAGGTTCATTTGGCCAGCCTGAAACATGAAGCCACCTTTTCCCAACTGCCAGAGGTAAGGCTGTACTTACTGGACACTTAATGGGGTAAGTGTTACTAATGCACTACCTCTTGCTGGCCAGCGTTTATCTCTGGATTGGGACCCCAGCAGTGTGGCCTTTCTTCTTGAAACATCAGGTGCTAACAGCTGCAATTTGCTACAAATTTGTAGAACTTTTTTTTAAAAAGCAGTAGCCATTTATTCACAGATGCACTCTGTATATACACGGTGCTGGCTTTACATAAAATGCATCACTGTGTACAGTTACCTTTTCCTTTGCCCAGCTGATGCTGTATATTTGTTTAAAGAACATAGCATTGGTCTCACAGTAGCCTTGGACTTCTCTTTCTGGTTGAAAGGCTGCCTGTCTCGCTCACACACAGCAGCAACAAAATGATCCCCACTGCATCCAGCACAACTGATGCAAGTAGGGACAATGCAAGGTCTGAGATACTGTCTTAAGTCTAGGTAAGTAGTCTCCCTTTCCCCACTAATTTTCTATATAGACAGCAGGGGGAAGTGTTCACCCCCTTCCTGAAGGAGTTCAGAGCTGCTTTGTCTGGCTCAACAGACAGCCCCCTGCTCCTGCTCATTAGCAGCTTTCCACTGGAACAATTTAATCTGGGGAGACTGAAATCACATTTCTTCTAGCTGTGTCAATTCCAGCTCCACAGTGCTGTGCCAGCTGTGAGCAGCTGCTTCCATAGCACCCTCCCAGGTGAGACCAAGAGCACTGGGCCATGTGCAAGTTTCCAGAGCTGACCAGAAAGCCTTTTTCAGCAGAACATGCAGAAACAGACACTCTATACTTTTATCACAGGTAAGCTTTTACATGGTGCTGCTAATAAGTGCAAGCTGTCTTGTATTACATGACACTAGCATTACACTACAGCGTACAGCAGGGAGGAGACTTAAAGCTGCCCTGGGTGTTACTCTCTTTAAAAAGCAGGACCTACTGGGGGAAAGGGGAAATAACTGCACTTTAGGACTATTCCTCTGCTTGGGACAGGTATCTGAAATTCATACAGACTTGTAAACAAAGTAGAGAAGCACAGAGGTGTTCTAGAAGGTTACAGAAATCAGCTGAGGTAACAAAAAGAAAAAAGAACAACCAACAAACTTCTCTTTTTGTTGTTTTTTTCTGTTGTTTTTGTTTTTTTACAGTAAATAGAGTGGGGGATAAAAGTAAACTAGCCTATTTCACACACAACACTGCAGCGTGGATCATACCGCTTTCTGAGAGCTGCTCGCCCTCCTCGTTCAGGCTCACTGACACACGCAGTTATGGCTACGTAATCGTTGCGCGTCTCTCCAGGGCTCCTCCAAACACATTTCAACCAATAATCTGGTCAAAACGATGTAAACGTTACTTTTTAATGTCTACAGAATTACCACAGACGGCATTATGATGAGGTCAGAATGGAGGTCTCGACTGTTGTTTCTTACTTGTCCATCTACAAACAGTACAAGATAGGAGTTTCACTTTTTATTTACGCCCCAGTGATCTTTGTACTCGTTTGAGCATTTACAGTCGTGTACTCTGTCTTTAAACATGAGCATTTTTCTAAACAGTAACAGAAGTTATTAGCTGCAAGGATAGCATAGCCATGTTGTAGTATAGAAGCTGCCCTGATCCTCTGTTTGTTGACAATGCATAGAAGATTTAGAATTATGGAACAACTGTCCCTCCCACCTCCCCCCACCCCCACCTCCCCTTAATAGTGTTACCAAAAGCTTAATTTTTCCAGTTTTAAAGTGCAAATGATTCAGATACAACTGCTGCTGGAACAGGTCTGAACAGAAAATGAAGTCCTCTTATGAGATGTTTTCCAGAATATAAAAGATGAGCTCCATTATGACTGGCCCCTCACTCAACTGACATGCCCCTCCATGAATCACTGGAACTAAGGCACTGTCCAGGTCATTCATGTATTGAGAAGGCAGTGGCTGTCCATTACTCCCAGCTTGATAACCAACCTAAAAAAATACAAAGTCACAGTGGGTTTTACACAGAAAGGGATAGCAGGCTCAGGGTCGAGGGGGAAGTGCTGTGCAGAAGGATGAGCTGTGTGCGATGCCTCCTGTCTCAGCCAGGGGAAGTCAGGCCCATGAACAGCATGCAGCCAGCATGAGATCAGCCTACCCACTTGTGTTTGGTGCTTTCTGTGTTCCCAGTGACTGCCTGGACAAAAGCAGCTTTTTCTTTTCCCCACTGTTCTACCAAAGCTGAGCTTCCAGACCAGCAGGAACCATACCCTGCACTATCAGATTAAGGCATGCAGTATTTAAGACCTGGATGATGCTAAGCACACTTCACTCAAGGCATGGCCAGCTGGTGTGCCAGAAGCCCCTTCTCTCTGCTTCTAGTGTTTGCTGTGGAGCACTCTAAGGGAAGCTCCCATCTGTTTCTCTGCCTCACATGCAATGTGATCTTTTATGAACAGCCCTACTTCTAAACGCTGTTTTATGCTCACACAAGAACATATTTATTCTACTTCCTTCTTCAGCTCCTGGTGGAAAGGCCAGCTTACAGCATCTCTCAGCAGGTGTCTCCAGCCTGCACCTCCAAGGGCTGTTCCAGGTCTGACTACAGAGCAGCTGCTGCTATGGGCTCGCTATTTATGCTCACTGCACTGGCTCTCCCTTGGTAACAGATTTTCCCAAACACCACATAATAGCAGTACTTGATAAGCATTGGGTGCTTGTTTTGTTTTTTTTTTGGGGGGGGGAGAGGAGGAGAAAGCAACCAACCACCCAGTCATTAAACTGTGGAACTATTCCAGACTTACTTGATCTGAGTCGAGAGTAACGCGCAGACCAAGCTTAGTCATGCCATCTTCTTTTAACAACTTAAGATGAGGACAAAGAGCTAAACAGAAGGCTTTTGCCACGTTTTCAGTCAGTCTGCTGTGATCAGCTGGGTCACTCAGACCATTGTGTTGCTCATCATTTTCCAGGAAAAACACCTGAAGGTAAGAATTACAGAACATGAAGTTAATTAAATGCCATTCAACATTTTTTATGAAAGACGACTTCAAGAAAAGCTTCTTGATGAACATCAGTGAAAGACAAACTATCCCTCAAACAACAGATATTTATACAGTTTTCCAAAATCTTTCAGTTCCATCAAAAGCTTCATTACAGAAAGTCACTCTTGTTGTACGCTATTTGCTTTTAAAGGGGTGCTCATTTCAGAAAATCCACACTTTCAGCAGAAGTCAGAAAAAATGTGTGTTGTTGTCAGTGAACTTAACCTCCAGATAAATCTGGAAGAAGATGGGTAAGGTAGCAAAGCTGTAGAAAGATTTGACTTGTTTCCTCCTGGGCAGATAAGTGAAACAATTCCAGAAATCCTTACCATTAGCATTTGTGCGCTGGCAGAGTCAAAGCTAACAACACTTGGTGCAGTTTCTTAATGGAGTAAATGCTGTAAGCCACTTCAAATTTTAGAAAAGAGGGCTCAGAATAGCTTTTTTTAAATAGGTAAGAGTTATCCACCTTTTAAAAGGTAGCTTTTAATACAAAATACAGGTGAAACCACCTGTTACCTTGGGTAACACAGTGAGCAAGCATTTTTCCAGTTCTTCCTACGCTCAACAAGACAGCATGAGAAGAGGCAGTCAGCACAAAGCAGGCTGCAGGTAGAAAATGGCCATGACAGCAGGGTGAGCTACGCAGCCGAGGCAGGACGCTGTACTCTGGACTGTGCTTTGCAGAACCTCTCTGCACACTTAGAAAATCTGCTCCAGGTTTGTTCTGAAGAATTCACTGCTATAATTTTGGTAATGTAGGGAGAGCAGGATGCAGAAAGACTGCTGCAGTCCTAAAATGCTCCACTTACCTCTGTCCATCGAATGACCTTTCCATTTGATTTGTACTCTGAGCCATGAAATATCTTCACACTTGTTATAGACTCCATTGATTTGCCATCAATAGGGCTTACAACACTGCAAAGTGGAGGGAAAAGGGTAAATTCCTACTTAGCAGGAGATATTAATAGAGGATATTGCAAAAGAAGAGTATCTCTTAGATCAAAGGACAGTGCCTCTGGTACACCTAAATCAACAGAATTGCTGCAGGTTGTTTTCGTAACTTGAGTGCTCTGCACTTTGAACCACTACAACAAAGCAAATTAACCACATCAACTAAATGGGGCACAGACCAGAACTAGCCTCAGAAGGGAGCTCCTTGAACAAAGGGTGCCAAAAAATTGACCCTGCATACAACTGCTAATTGCCATGCTGATGCTAAGCCTGGGGGTTCTTAATGGGGGAAGAGCCAAGAGGCACAGAGGCCCTGCTGTCCACTGCAACCCCAGCCCTCTGATACTTGGAGTTCAGGATGGAGCTTCCTGCATGTTTCCAGCTAAGCTCTGCACCAGGACTGAACTCTAATCAGTTGTTAAAAGAGCAACAGGAAATGATTTGCTTTTTGTTCATGTATAATGTTGGTGGAGCCTGCGATACCTTTAAACACTACTCACACTGCAGAATGTGTCCTGTAACATTTCATTACAGAACTTGAGACTGACGCAGTGTCTGTTCACACAGAAACGCCACCCTTGTAGATGCTGATTCCTTACAAGCCTGTCCCATTATTACAGCATTTTTCTCCAAGTACTTAAACTGCCATGTATGCTTTTCTTTTGGCTTAACTATCTGAGTACAACATACACTGCTGCTGTTCAGCAATTTTTCTTCCAGCACGACTTAATGCACACAAAGCAACAAGAGTATGAAGTGGCCGTAATATGCAGGGTTCAGCATGGATTGCTGGAGGGACATTCCAGTAACTGCTTATTAGCAATGGCAAAATAATCCATAGCACTGACAACTTTAATTGATGTCCCAAAGCTCTGGTGTCTCAGCTCCACTTTTATTACATTTAATTGCATCTTATCACTCAAAATAGAGTGTAAGCTTGTAATTCGTACTGACTCGGTGGTCCTTCCACCTTATAAAATCCATTACAATTTTTAACAGATGCAGTCAAAAATGTCTTGCTTACCCTTTACTGAAGTTTTTATCATCTTCTACCCACTGAATGTGAACGTGTTCCTGAGGATCTTCAGCATCTACTTTGCCACAAGTGATGGTAAAGTCTTTCATCTCTCTCAAGGCCTGCCTCAGAGAGTCCATGTTCTCAGCAGTTATCTGGACCATTATTCCATCTAGGGAACCAAGAAATCCTCATAAGCCAAGACAAGTCACAATGAGCAGACCCTATAAAAAAAGAAAAACATCCTTCTTCCTGTGAGCAACAGAAATATTCAAAATCCATTTTGACAATACACAAGGCCATTCCTGAACTCTCTGATCCCTAAAAGAGGGAACACTGACTAGGAAACACAACGATCATTAAAGGAAACGATGGTGGCTTTTTTTTGCCAAAAAGTATGATGAAGCTGAACCAGCAGCTTTTTTCAAATGCTGAGGGCTTAGCTGGGCAGTGCTAAGGGGAAAGCAGTGCATTTTAAGCAAGCAGTTCAGTTCTTACCTTCTACTATACTGGATTTGGCAAGGTAACCTGAAGAGGATTTTAAAGCTCCACTGAACACAAAGAAGCTGGCACCAGTCACTGCAACAACAACAACAAGAGTGATTTAGTGGGGCTTTCATCAAAACAATGCCTCACACAAGAATCAGGCACAACAGCTCTATCATCCAAAGAGGTGATTAATCTAAATCAGAACAAGTGTTGTGCTCAGAATTATAGTGACTTTAATGCATCTTACATGCTTGGACATAGAATGGCAAATCATCCAGTTATCTTCTGAACTGGACAGCAATTTTGTCAGCCTAAATGCTTGTATTTCATCACTCTCTCCACTAAGACCTTTAAGTTTCAGGATTGTTAATTTAGGGTAACCAATTACATAATGCTGAAAGTTCCCATACAGCCAGCATAAGACTGTGTGTGAGCTGCTTATGGCCCACACTGTAACACCAACCAGTGGAAAGTCAGCCAGCTGATTTAAGTTCTCTTAAATGACCACCAAGCATCACAAAATACTTGCTGGAAGTCCCTCTGTTCATGCCGTGTGTAAAACAAACCACACTCAGATAAAACCAGCAGTCCTGAAGTGACATCCCACATCACTACACTCACTGCATATAGGGATAGTTGCCAAACAAAAGTTGGCCTGTATCTTGCTTCTCGTTTGGAGACAGTGTAAATATCTTTGCCAGGTAAAGCCTGGAAATGAGGTGAACACATTTTTGAAGTTACATTATTTAAACACCGCTGCTGTTGCTTATTTCTGTTCACATCTCCTGCGTCCCACTAAACCGAATCGTCCTCCTTTCACACAGCCTACAGGACAAGCACAGGCAACCATGCTCCCACCTCTATCTCCAATAATGCCAAAGCCTGCTGTCATTCATGTACAGAAGTTGTGTAAGGCAGTCAGAGCACTGTGACTTCTGGAAGTGTGTATGTCCCAGGCTGTACTGTGCAAACAGTATTACCACATTTACAAGGCAGCAAGCTGTAATATGCTTAATTTTGTGTCTGCCTGGTCTATGAAGCTGCCAGAATGCCTCGCAGACAAATTCAGAACAGCACTACTGACCTAGGAAGTGTGATGAGGCCTGTACACAGGACACAAACAGCAGTGTGCCTCTGGATGTCTGAGATTTTGCATTCTGCAAGGGGAATGAAACACTGAGGGGTAAAGGCAGACAGAGCAGCGCAGCACGCTGTTCTGTGTTCAAACCTAACTCACAGAGCTGCCCATTCAGGAAGCCCAACAGTCAGAATGATTTTCTCTGAACTAGAGCACAAACACTGAAATACAGACAAGTCCAATCTTGACAGATTCCCCACACAGCGCGCCGCATCACTGCGAGATCAACAGCAAAACAGAGGTCATGCAGAGCACCGTGAGCCAGCGGCCTCCAGACGAGCCCCGTTCTCACCCTTCCTCAGCTGATTATGGATGCTGATGGCCTGAGTCTGGTAGTTCCCATCATCATTCTGAACACACACCAGATGCGAGTCTGCTTTCTCATTGAAGCAAGCTCCCCCTGCTAGAACATGCTCGTTGGATTTGTTCATGGCTTTCATCATCTGCAAACAAAAAGGTTTATACCATTCTTACCATTTGTCAAGGAATACCATGTAAAGGTTGTTCTTGGAACAGTTCATTCAGACAGCAAAAATTAAGAGTGCTTGCAGTCCTGTGTCTTGACTTCAATACTCAGACAGACTTCAATACTCAGAACCATCACCTGCACTTGAAAAGATGGTTCAGGCCTTATTTCACCTAGATGCTTTAGTGTCACCTTTCAAGTAATTAAGATAACTGATAAGAAGGATAGCTGACCTACAAAGTAGCCTGCAAAAGCTGCTTTCTCTAGCTGTTTTATAAAACATGCAAAGGAAAAAATATTAGAAAAACACTGGGAGGAAATATCTGCTTAGTTTACACTGCTAGAACTAATGATGACATCAGCCATGAATTGAAACAGTGCAAGAATGGCACTGTGACTCGTGGCATTTACTCCTGGTTCTGCCATGAGCAGACACCGCAGCTTTGGTGCCTCTGTGCTTCACCAGCATGAATTGGTGAAATTGGGATTGGTTTTTCTCCTTCAAAGACTTTTCAAAGAGATCCGAATCAACTGACATCCAGAAATCATTTTAATTCTCAGCAAAATATTATTATAAATTGTACTCCTTCTTTCTCCTCTTCGTGTTGTCTTAGATGATGAGATTCATCTCTGGAATTTTTCGAAACTAAAAATTATGTATTTGATTTAAAGAAAAAAAGGGGGGAAAGAGGTTCGAGAGTGATTAAATTACATCTCCCCCAGCAAAAACCTTGGAGAGAAGGAAAATGCTGACATCTCTTAAGAGTGCTCACACTCCAATCCTCCGCCTCCTGTACCTGATAAGCAAGTATGCCCTGCACATCGTATTTATCTTCCTCAGTCTAACATAATACCTTAATTAGAGTGTCAGGAACATTAGCTGATGCTGACTGTTGACAAATGTGCACAGGTGTAATGTTTAGGGAGGAAACTTAATTAAGATTTTGCATCAGACAACAGTGTATTTCATTATCTATTTATCATGTCATGCTCCAGAAATACGAATTTAGCTCAACAACAGGCACCTCTATGGAGCCCTGTAGTTGCCTTCAGCATGAGAAGAAACAGCAGGAATGGCCGCTGTATCTTGTAACAAGGCAACTCAGTACCAGTGACAGCTTCCTTGAGGAACTGAATAGTCTTACACTTGTAACTGAGTGTCACTGCAACTGTAGAAAAGTAAAATCATCTTGAAGGAAAACTATAAATTTAGTACAGAAATATATATGAATATTTAATTTGTTAATTAGAGCCTGAATTTTCCACATTTAATCCATGCATGAAGGATGAGTTCTTCATTTCCAAGACAGTTTGAGTGACGCTAAAGAAATACTGCTCTCCACAGGGAAAAAAGTGAAAGTCTTGTGGCTTAATTCATCTTAATTCAAAGTATGCTTGGATGAAAAATCTCCACTAATTCAACCTTTCAGCTGAGTTGCAGGCAATGATGTTAAATAAATAACACTTTCTCTTTTTAAAAAGCCAAGTCTTTGCTTTACACTGCAAAGAGAATCTGAGCACAATGCAGAGCTTTTGCCATGCTGTACAACATAGGAATCTTTCTCTGGGTCCAGCTGAGTGCAACATGCAATACAGACCTGTCCAGCACACCTGCAACCATCAGGCACAGCTGCTACAGAACTGCCTCCAGTGTGCTGATCTGCATTTCATGTGTGCAAACTTTACTGACCTTTTCCATTTTCTCACAACAGCGCCAAGAACCAATTTATCTTTTAAACACATCCTTTATCTTCTTCAGCTTCATCAGTTTCTTCTTTTCAAACTTCACATAAAAACTGCTTTTCCTTTTTTTTTTTTTAATTTCCTCAATCCTGCTATTATTTCACTTAAATGCTTCCAGCAGAACAATTCCCTCACAAGATAAAGCTGTATTCTGCTCTGATTCTGCAAGACCTTTTAAAAACACTGCTTTGCTCAGGAGGTTTGCTCTTCTCCCAGCTGCTGACTGGTTTCAAAATACCAAGTTTACCAACTGCTGTCCATGCAGACCACAAAATGTATCACCTCCTTCACTGCTGTTCAAAGATCCTGTCCCTCAGCTTTCGCAGCACTGCTACATCTTGAAGACACTGGTTTTCTCACACCAGACATCAAGTATAAAATTGAGATGCAGAGTTCTTACATACTCAGCAATCCAACTAATACATGCTGCAAGTATACAGCATAGATGTGGAAAGCAAATGCACTTTTATCTCCTAGTTCACTTCAAGTGTGAAGTTTGTCAACTTACCTCAAGTAAAGCTTAAGCCAAAAGGTATTTGCAATCTTCTAATACTTTCTATTATTTATAGTACTTAAAACTGAAATTAAAAACCTGAAGAAATAGCCTTTCCTGTTTTATTAACACTAAATGGAACTGCATTCTTCCTGTGGAGCCATCATCACTTGCTCTTAAAATATGCACTCATCATGAATTTATGGACTGATTTTGAGGCTGTTTTCCTTAGTGACAGTGATAAGAATAAAATTCCTTTAGACCCCAAGTCTTCCAATCACACAGAAACCGCAAACAAATCTATTTCTTTTAAGCATTACCTCATTATATCTGTTGCTGGGAATTTTGATGCTGGTTTTTCTGACTTCCATATCAACCACTAAGCCTTGGACCACCGGCAGCGTGTACTGGTAATTTCTGAAATCCTGGTAATTAAAACAAGTTTGTAGAAGTTATGTGTGGTAATCGTCATTAACATAGCAGGTTTTTTAACTACCTTAGTGACCAATCAGCTACCTCATTAATATAACTGTAATCAGTAACTTGAAAAGCAGGGAAGGAGGGAAACATCACAGCTTGTAACCCACATAATGAAAATACACAAATGAAAAATCCTCATCGTGCCTGTTAGTCGCTGTTATTCCACTCATTTTCTTACATCAGAATTAATATTCTCCAGCCTTGAATGCCATCACTGTATATAAGAAAATTTGTTCTCTGTGTTCTATCACATTCCTGGATAATTAGCTTATCTAGCAATGACATGAAGTCACACGTTAAAGAATTTTCGATATTGAACACATCAACAATGTTGGAAAAGCCAGCAAGTTCATTTCAGTTGAAGCCCCCTATAACCAGAGCACTGCAGATAAACACTGTGACAAGCCAGCACTGCTGGGAAGTGATCCAAGATCCAAGAACTGCTGCACTTACTGCCAGACCCAAACATCCTCCATTGGCCAAGGTGGAGGTGCTTGTATGGGAGGTGCTGTTATGGGAACCTCTCCAGCCCACATGCTGTCACAAGCTAACACCCAACACCAGTAGTGGCAGGCAATTCACCCAAATGCCCACTATTCCCTTCTGACATGTAGGCATGCAAACTACTACGTGCAGCAGGGGCCCAGTTCTCCTCACACTGATTGATGCTTATCAATGGAACAAGGAAACAGCCTCAGCACTTACTGCAAGGAGGTTCATAATGGTGTGTCCAGTCTCTCCAAACAGAGGTTTACGAAATCTGACACTAAAAAGTGGGCATGGATAAACTAGGATAAAACAGAAAAAGTCAAATTCAATTTACATACTGAGATTCTGAAAAAACAGACTTAAATACAATCGCCTCAGTTGAATGTGGTAACCAGCTGCAAAAGAAAAGACTGGAAAGAAGACCAGGGTTTAAAGAGCAAAGAGAAGAAGGGTACAATCCTTTAACACACCTGACATCTCATGGCTCTTTGCCCACCACACTCTAAGTAGGAAGAACAATCTCATGGACCACTACCAAGTGCCACACTGCAACCCTGAACTTCATCTCAACACTGACTGCAAAGATAGCCTAAATGTTTTTTTCAACATACTACTGGAAATGGCTTCTCCCTTTTTCATGGCCATCCTGTTTTCACTACAGCACCCTAAGCCTTTAGCTTGTTGCTGACATATGTGACACTCAACAGACAACACTGAGATTATTTTATTTTCTGTTTTCATAATCCCATTAAAATGTGTCAAATTCTCTACAGAAGCATGTCAGAAAGAATGAAAGGGATATTTACAGTATGACAACAATGTGAAATATCTGCATTCCTTAGCTGACTTAGCCATGCTTGTACAACATCTATGATGCAATTCAATGTGCAGTGTATAGATCTGGCTCCATCACATTACGTTGCAGCAGAAGTGATAACTAAGCTTGAAACATGACTCATGCAGTCATATGTAATGTCAGTGTTTGCTAAACACAAATGTGAAGGAAGCTTCCTAAACTGTCCTCAAGCAACCACTCACCCTGATTTTCCAAAGTGCCACACATCTTCATAGCTTCCACTGCAGTCACAAGGAGCTGCAAAATGCTCTACAGGTTTGAATAAAAACATCACCATTTCCTTATAAACTACAGTGTTTGTACACTGGTGAGGCATCTAGAAAGTACCACAGCTCCTGCACAAGCGCTGCACAACTGACCTACTCAAGCACAGAGTCCTGATGCAACAAGAAGGGGAGCTGTGCCAATCACAGCAGCAGACAACCAAGACCGCAAACTTCTGGCCTGCCCTGGTGGACAGACTTCCAGCAGTCTCCAGCAATCATCAATGTCTTTTTGTCTTATTCCATTCTAGTTGTTACGACTTTGTTTAGCTGAAACGTTCTCTCCAGCTTTTTACTGGTTGCAACAGAATTTTCCTAACAAGCTGCCACATCAGTTGCCACTGTGCATATATTTGCTGGATAACGAGCACACTTTGTGTTTTTACAAAAATAAAGGCAAATGCTCTTCCTTTTCAGCTTGGAAAGAACTGAACAGGACAAATGAGTGCCTTTGACATAACTACACCAGCTAACTCAGACTTGTTCTGCACACTGCTCCCTTTCAGGTCATCAAGTGAACGACAGATAGTGGCTCAGAATTAGATTTGTTTCCATAAAAGCTCAACCATTATAGTTTTAAAAAGGCTGTAGGTCATAAAAAGACTCCAGGGCTGCTGTGCTGTTACCTGGATGCAATGTGGGCATGGAACACCAGTGACAATAATTCTTACCTGCCTGCTGAAGCTCACACTGCTTTGGCAGGTAGCAATTCAGGACTGGGTATGCGCGCTCTAAACAGAATACATTATCCTGCAGGAATAACTGCAGCTAAAAGAACACACATTACTTACATCTGTATTCAGCTCCAAGTCTCAGCATCAGCCGAATGGGGAACACTTTAGCCCAGGGCGTCTCCCATTTCTGAATGAGGATGCCAAACAAGTAGGGTGGGGTTGGGAGCACCAGGTCCTGCAGGGACTGATACGTAGCTGCAACGTACAAGAACCCTCCGTGTTCTTTGCTTCCCAGAAAGCTCTGGCTGAAAAAGGAGTGTCCCAGGTTGCCAACAACGTTACCTATGAATAAAAATGCTCATTACGTCACTAGATTGAGAGCTGTATCAAGAATTTAAAGAGTTCTTCTCAAATATATACAATGCCTGCCCGTTTTCCAAGGAAAACAGCAATATCCTGACACATATTTTATTTTAGAAAGGAGCATACATTCTGTTTTGTAACCAACTGAGGTAGGTATGATTCAGCAAAATCTTCATGAAAAATGACTCAGAGGATTAAAATCAGCTTTAAAAAAAAAAAAAAGAAAAAAAAAAAAGGAGTGCAAGGTGGGGAAAGAATGGTGAACTGCCTTGACCATTTCAGTCATCTGCCTGTTTCAACTAGCCAAAGAGGTGCAACAGAGGGGATGATATATCCCAACGACAGTTGAGGAGAAGAAGGGTAGTTCAGGACAGTATTGCTGCCTGCACCTATCTGCTGGCACTACAAAAGTGCTCAGTGAAAGCCTATGTTAGGTGCCTCCCAGGCACTCAAGAGATTTCCACTGCAGAAGCTGCTGATGACTGAACCAAATTTTCAGAGCCAGCTGAGATGAGAGGAATTGCACACCTAGCGAGATGCTGAATGCCCACAGGGCTGTCCTTTCATTTAGGCAAACCACCAGAGTCTGTCTCTGTCATAGTGAAGATCTGGGTCATTTCAAGAATTGCACATAAGAGTATTTATTTAATTAGTGCATTTTATGTAAAATGCAACTGAGACAAGCACAGGGGAGAAGAACCACTAATTTTCACTCCAATTTTTCTTCTTTGATGCTCTTAAATTCCAGAAATGTTTATGCTGGAATGACTGAATTAATCTCAAAGTTCATTAGGTTATTATAGCATCCAATGCAGTTTAACATCATGGCAAAGAACCACAGTGTAATTCCAAAACAACAGCATGCAAACAACCAGAAGAGCTGATCGTAATTCTCCATAGGAAGATGTGAACATCAATAGTGCTGATTTGCTCTCAAAGAAAAACAAAAGTAAGCTGAGGGAGCGTGGTGTGGTTGATCATTTGATCACACTACTCCTAACCGTGTGGGTCTGAAGCTGCCATGCAGACCTGTGGGCCTCTGAAACCCTCGGCTGCCCATGCCGTAGGCAGAGGGACTGCTAGCCAGGAGGTTCTGCTCCTTCCTCCCTTACTTCATAATGAAGCATCTCTATTTGAACTTAAGGCAGAGAAGGAAGAAGTGCTGTCCTGCTTCTTCAACATGCACATCAGCTGTGCAATTTCTCCCTCTCAGACATGCTGAGACAGACACACAAACGCTGCATCTTGAGCAAAAACACAGGTCACAGAAATGCAACTATGACATTCTCAGAAGACAAAAATAACGATTAAGTTAAGCCTTCTCAAATTCTGTAACTCAGAACAGCCAAAAAATAACACACTGACATGTATAAATGCAATGAAATAAACACAGCAGGCACAGTTTAGGCCAGCAAAGGAAAGCTTAACCAATGAGTCCTTCCAAGCCTGACCCTTACTCTGATCCACCCCTAAAGTCCCAACTCACAGCTCTGGCATGAGAATAGTACAGCTAATTCCTGCTCTCACTCCAGAGATGTGGGCCACGCTACAGTGCAGCCCTCCAGAACATGATCACCACTGGGATTTCTTTCCTTCACGTGACTCACGCAGGGATCTCCTGCATCAAGTACAGCTACTGGTAGATCACTAAACAAACGACTTATTCTACCCTCCAATTAGCAAACACACTCACAGGTGTCCCCGCTATTCAAACTTGGGTAACCTTACTGGATTTGTATTTTGGTTGGTTTTTGTGCTAGTTTTTTTTGCTCTGCCCATAAGGTGCTGCACAAACTAAGCTCTCAAGTTCTCTGTTAAAGGCCATCAGGCTTCAGCAGCACAGGCATCTCTTTGCCAGGGTCAGGCTCATTCACAGCTTGCTGCTATCCTGAGTAGCTGATTTTTAATTTCACGCAATCCAGAGCTGACACCTCCAAATGGATTCCAAATTCCAAAACTCTGACAGTGATTACAACTTCCGTAACGCTCAGCTGAGCACAGTTGATGTAAAGCAGTCAGTCACTAATCTGAAAAATTAACATGATTAATAAAGCTACATCAAATGTTGCCAGCTTCTGAGAAGCACTGCCCCTGCCCATCTGCAAATGCATTTCTGTCAGCTTGTGCTGTGACACTGCAGCCTGCACAGTGACTACTAATACTAGAAAGATGCTGCAGTTGGTACAAGTGCAACCTAATGTATCAGCTCATGTTCACGAAAAGATTTTCTTTGTGCCAGAAGCTATTTCAGAACCTTTCTATCTCAATTCATTTGCTTTTGCAGTTCCCACCTACCTTCAGTAATTTCCTCTTCATTTATATTTCCTTTTTTCCCTTCCCATATGTTCTTATCAAAACAGAAGCTATAGACCTCATAGTAAAATTAGTTGATGAGGTTCTTGGTTCCAGACAACATGACCAGAATAATCAGTACATAAAAGGAACTTACGAATAGGACAGAGACAGCCCTTCAAAATGACAGCAACAGAACAAGAGGGAATGGGTTTAAACCAAAAAAGGGAAGATTCAGGTTAGATGCTAGCAGGGAATTCTTTATTCACAGTGCAGGAAGGCACTGGCATGGACTGCCCAGAGAAACTGTGGGTGCCCCATCATCCGTGGAGGTGTACAAGGGCAGGTTGGATGGGGCTGTGGGCAGCCTGCTCTGCTGTGGTGCAGTCCTGCTCGTGGCAGGAGGTTGGAACTGGCTGGGCTTTAGGGTCCCACCCAAACCATTCTGTGGTTCCATGAGAATACCACAGATTTCATGATGTGAGACACTGCCCACAGGGATGACAAAGCAATCAGACACTTGTAGTTGTGACTGATGCCAAGTGCTGCAGCAGAACATGACTACTTTTTTTCCTGTTTCAGGAGACGGCGTTTCAATACATCCTTAACAACAAGTTTTTCAGCTAACAGCAATATGAAAAAGCCCTCAGGATGAAATCTGACTCTCTGCCGTTCAGCACTTTGCTACCACAAACACAGCACCACCAGTTATTCCTACTGATACAAGTGTCTCACAGCGTAAGCTTCAGGATGTTACAACTAAGAGGACAAACTGTGATTAGGCAGTTGTGCTGCAACTCATCATTTATGAGAACATGCAAGAGCTTGCTTTGAGGGAAGAATCAAGGAAGTGCCCTTTTCACCCAGCAAATCCAAATGAAAAAGCCACTCTGGGCTTCTACAAATATTTCTACCCTGTCTGGGGGCTGTCTGCCTTTCCTGTCACGTCTCTGAAGGCAGTTCCAAGTCAAGGCCCCACTGATAAGTTAATATATACTTACATTTCTCAGTAAATTCCCATTCACTTTTTATTTATGTGGATACAAAGCACTTAAACCTGTCACACTGCTACCTTAAATAAAGGGGAGCTATTACCAGTGTGACAAGGTCAAACCAGCCCACTGCACCGTTGCACATTAGGAGCACAGAACTGTATTTCAGAAGCTTGTACAGAAAGTGTAGCTGTCAGAAGAATCCTCAGAAAAAGCTACCTTAATCAAAAACACATTTAATTTACAAAATATCACAACTTCCTTTCTAAAGAAGTAACTGTGAACAGAAAGTGAAGAGAAAGGTGCCTTTTCTTATATTAAATTCCAGGACATTACATCAGACAATTAATATTATTTAGGAAGTGCCATAAATCTGCACAATGCACCTAAAGCAGCTCTGCAGGAGGTATTTATTCTTTTCCCAGCTATACTGGGTTACTCTTTATATATCCTTAATCCTAAGCAGCTCTACAAATTCCTTTAAAACAAACAAGCTTGTTTGATGTGGCTTTACCTTCAGTAACAATTCACACTGTGTCCTGAATTCTTTGCTTAAGCACCTTCCTCTGATGAACTCTGCGTATCAGCTTGACAATCCCTTCTGGGTTCAAATAAAATGGTTTATACCAGAAAGTATTCCTGTATTCCTTTATTGCACTCAGTGTATGATGGAGTCACCTCAGTACTTTTACCAAAAACGGTTGATGTTAAATTCCTGACACATACTCCATGTTGTTCAGTACTAACATCTAATCTCAGGGAAAGCACGTTCGGAAGAGAGAAGGCTGCACCCATGTGACCTCATTCCACCATCACCAGTAACAGCCAAGATCTGCCAAGTGTCTAACACCATGCCAACATCCTGAAAATTCAAACATCCAATTCCAGCAGCAAGAAATGCAAAGCAAGACTCACTTGGGATCAATTTTGGCAGACAGATTTTCAAGAGCAAATGAGCACATAAACCAACACAAACCCAGTCAGTGTTAACAAAAAGGTCCACAAAGAGACAGGATTGTGGATTTAACTCAATCACACAACACAACTGCAACAGATGCCATTATTGAAAAGAAAAATCAGAGTTCTGATCATACTGAGCATCTTTGCATTGAAAAATATCAGCATGTAATTTCGAAAGAACTTATTCATATTGGCAACAGGTGTAAAGTCTCACTTACTATCATTGTGAGCAGTGGTTATCAGCATTCAAACCTTCCTCAGATCAAGATGCAGCAGTCTTCCAATCACTCTCTCCCCATGCTCAATTTTGTATCCAGTTTTCATGCTACACTTGCAGAGCACAACAGTTAAGCTGCTCTCTGCTCAGAGTACCCATGGACTTCTCTGCGGATCTTATGTTTGAGCTACCAGCTTACTTAAATAAAACCAGGCAAAGTAAAAGAATACATAAAACCGTGCTTGGGATAGAACATCCAGAAGTCCTTTCAAGCAGTTACCATATTTGCCCTCTCATTACAAAAGTAACAGTAGCATTCATCGTTTCCCACCAAAGAGTTCACACGCTAAGGGTAGATCTGGCAGCTCTGCATTAACAGCTTCAAAGTACCCTTTCAGAGGAACAGAAGTTCTCATTTTTCCATTCACCAGACCTCCTCGCAGGCTAATAGCCAACAAAGATAATCAAGGCATTTCTACTGCAATAGTAATTCTCCAACTACAACAGAAATCATTAGCTTTCAATTTCAAAACAAGAAAGGCAACACAGCAGGGAGCTTGACCGGGAGCAGGAAGATTCTGAAGGGCTAAAGGGAAAGTAAAACAAGGGAAACAACAGCAATTAATACTTGTCTTAATTAACAAATTTAGAATTTATACCTCACATACATACAACCCAAAGGGAAAAATACCATCTTAACTTCAAAGTACCTCAATTGCTTTACAATTATGAAGTCCTGACACTAAAGTTGGTGGTTGAGCACTTCCCCTAGTTAAGGTTCAGAGCACCAGACTGACATCTTCTCCACACTGAAAATAGAGTTGAAGCAGAAGGACAAACCATGAAGCATTAAGCACACGCACCAAATGCTCCTGCCAGTAGGTGGAAAGGCTGGGCTCTGTTGCAGCTATTGCTAAATCCATGCTCTGCATTTGGCTGAGCATGCAGAGCACAGAACTTGGCCTGAAGAAACCAACTAACCTCTGAGGACAGCAAAAACATCTCAGAGGGGATTTGAGACAAGTTCGAGCTTCTGTGTTTGAATGCAGAACTCAAAATTGAGGAGTTGAGGAAAAAAAAAACTGAGCTAGTAAATAAATGCAACTCCTGGAAAAAAAAACAAACCACTACAGAGATATGCTTTAATTAAATAATCAAGGTGAGAAATGCTGTATGATTTGGTTCAAAACAAAACCAGCAGCAAAACTCAACCATTTCCAAAACAAAATCATTATCACTGTATGCAATTCTTGTTTCTGTTCCATTAAAAATTACTCACTGTGCCTTTTTACTTTATGACCGTTTTAAAACATTTACTAGAGAAGAGGAATAAAAAACAGCAGAGTTTATTTCAGTTTCCTCACAGCAAAATACATTTAAACAAACTTTTAATATCACGAAAAATGAAACTGTGAGGTGGGGTTTCAAACAGCTCCTGATTTCCACTGGAGATTCTCATTTGCTCTGAACATCTGTCATTTAAACTCTAGGAGAGGCCCAATACCTCTGAAATGAACAAAGCTGGAAGAATGGACGCATGTATAACACAAACTGCTACTGCTTCCAGGGGATTGCAACCACCCAAGTGAAATCAAAGAGGCTGAAGGGATTAATGTGGAAAATGACCAGAGCTGCAAATATATACTTCTCCCTCTCCTGCACACAACTTGAAAAGAAAAAAGGATGCAGATTGAGAGTGTGCATTACAAAGAGCTGCAGGAATTTATTGAGATGCTATGATCTATGAAAGTTTCAGTGTACCTATTTCCACTACATGTCTGAAATACAACACAGAGGAAACACTATCCAAAGAACATCACAGAGTAGAATTCTTAACCAGTGAAGTTTGGCTTCTAATGAAAAAATTGTACAATAGTAAGCAGCTCTTTACACAACCACAGTTGTAGGATATTAAATTATTGCCATGAGCACTAGAAAGAATTTCAAATATGTTATGTAGGAGTTATGAATTATCTATTTCAGTAATGTAACTGCACAAACATCACTGCAACATACACATCTGGTAGCACATGTACGTACCAGTGTGTTTGCACGCACACACACACACACACACACACACACACACACACACAGCATTTTCTAACCATCTCCCTCTGAGTAACATCATCATTAGAGGATAAAGCACTGTCACTGAAGTGAGGTTTGGAAAGTTATTTGTTTCCAGTGTATGTTAAATCCATTATGCCATGCAATAACAGCACATGCTGAACCTGGTAACCTCTCTGGACAAGATGACCTACGTTGAGTAAAGACATTTCAGGAGACAAAGACCTTTTTCATTACTCTGTTAAAGCACTGGATTCTGTCACTGCACAGGCATTTCAGTTAACACACAGAATCCTTCATAAATGTTCTGTCAGCGTATGACCTAAATATGATGCAATTTCACCTCTGGAAAACTAGCTGTATTTTCTCATCAGAGAAACCAAATAAGAGCTTTTCCTCACCATGCAAGAGTTTTTGAATTATAATGTTCAATCAACAGTCAAGAGCATAAGCCTATTTACTCAGCAAATATAAAATGTGTAAGGGTTTACATCATACAACCTTGTGACTGAGATACAAAAATGCAAAATTCAGGGGAAATTTCTGCAAGGTACAAACGTATATATAAAAATAGAGGAACCAAACTTTTAATTTGGTTTAAGATATTTAATACTCTACCTACAACAGTTCTCAAAATTTCCTTTCTGACTTTAAGCTGAAATGAAAATTTTTAGAAGCTATGTTATCAGTGTACCCAGGAGCCCTACTGAGTATCCTACTACACCTCCCACTAAACAAAGCTGAGCAATCATTTAAGGAATGTTTTAGCTTTATTCACGTTCTTAACCCAAGATCTTGCAGAAATGCCAGAGCAGACAATAAGTAATGGCTGCTAAAAACAACACTGAGACAGGGAGAGTCTTCCTGCTCCATTCCTGTAATACCCTACGTAAAGCCTTCATAGGCCAAACTTCCCACATGCTGACTCCCACAGGACAGCTGGATGATCTTCAGTGCAGTTCCCATGTCACCAGCGCCCCACTCACACTTCTGTTTGATAAGATGAACATTACAGTGGATGCTACTAACCAGTCATAAACCAGCACCCTATCAGCTTTGATCCTTATTTGTTTTTCATATTATCTCATACAAAAATGAGATTTAAAAAAAAAAAAAAAAAAAAAAGACATTTTTCTGAGTGACAGAATGTGTGTTTCCGGTCTATTAAAGTCAATTTTAAGAGATAGATGGAATTCCTACCTGCTAAGGCATCCCGATAAAGTTGCACAAAATGGTTAAAGATATCCTTGGGCAAACACTTCTCATCAGGCAAACACTGCAAGAGAATGACTATCTCAGACTGTCCCACTGCATGCATTCCTTTTGTGGTGAAACACCAGCACTTCCTGTTCACATCTGCAGAAAGGAAAAAATATATCAGAAAAGAAAATCAAAATTTCACAAAATGTGTCTAAATTTCACTACAGAACGACCGTTTGATCATCAGTTTTACAGCATACTTGGTTGTGATGTCTGTCACAGGAACAAATTAGCAAACACATCCATACCAAAACCAGCTCAATAACATGCAGTTTGAAACTAAGGAACAGCCGGAGTACTAAGGAACCAGCCAGACTTTTGGGATTAGCATCCCAGAGCAGACTTCTAGCAGCTTCTGTGTCCAAATTCAAGGACAGGATACAAATGGCAATAAAGGAAGCTGAGAAAAGGCCAGGCTGTTTGCTGTGCATATTGTGATCCTGACAGCTAAACAAGTTTCGGAGAGTGATCTCTCTTGAGATGGATCACTGAATCACTGTGTTCTGCTTCATATGAACATGACACAAGTATCAAAAATTAGTTACTAGAATAACATTTTGCCATCTGAATGTAAGCACATAAATGTAATGTTAACTAAACATTTGCTAACATCATGCTAAAAGATTTATAGACAACTTAAGAAGACTGAGTAATATCATATTTTGTCTATCAAGTCAGAAAGGAGACACCACAGAACAGAGAGAGATGGTTCTATCAATTTAATTCATATTTTCAGGGGGAAAAAAGAAATCTTCATCAATGTTTAAAGCACCAGACAGAATCCTTATATAATTTTAATTGATGTGATTAAGTAAAAAGTTTTCTGTGCACACTGAGACTATCTCACCAAATTAAAAAGCTGCTGCTGCTACAATAATATATATAAAATATCCTCCCATATACCAAGCCTTATTTAATAGCAATTAAAAAAAAATAACCACAAAATAGACTTACAATTTACAATTTTTACCATGGACAACAAATTAGCATTTAAAACAAACACAAGAGGGTCAGGGCCACCATCCTCCAGCTGCTGCATGACAGAGATCTGAGAAGGTCTCTCTTCTACAGCATAATCTATAAAAGAACAAGTGAACACACAGTGAAATCCTTCACTTACTCATAAAGTATGTTATGATCACTTCAATCTGATCCTGATGCTTTTTTTTTTGACACTTAAAGAATCACATATTGTTACATATTCTGATCTGATTTATTGTCTTCAAGGCTGCTATTTTCAAATTCAGTAACATTTACATGCATCACCCCCATACACCCTTAAGAAAAGTACAGTTTGTTTTCTAAATCAGGTTTGGTGGGTTGTTTTCTTTTTGTGTCAACTGGAGGAGAAAAGGGGAATCAAACACACAAATGTGTCATGGTGCCAACTGATACCCCAAAGAAGATAGCAATTGTTATTTACATCACAGCAAAGCACAGGAGCATCAGTCCTGGACAACACACAGTCTATCCCTATGTCACAGAACTTATATTTTCAGAGCATTACCTAATGGGAAGACAACAATATATAACCATATAAAACAATGTTCTTCACAGACCGTAGATGGTCTAACTTCACTGTAAAATGCATTCCAACATGATGTTTCAAAGATGCCTGTAGTTTCTCTCTCTGATTAGACCACTAAGACTAGTAAATTAAAATCTCCTATCCATGTGATTATAATCTTCTCTGTATTTAAGCCAACAAAAAGCAGTTGCAAAGAATTGTATTACCTTTTTTTCTAGATAATTCTAAAATACTGCAAAAAAAAATAAATCCTGTACACAACAGCATCTGAAACAAAATCAACTTAGCATACAAAACACCATTTACATGAGGTTATCCTTACAGAAATTGAAAACCATACTGTCGTTTCACTCCTCTTTGTGGAAGCAACTGAATAATAAGTACCCACTTGAACAGCCAACACAGGATGGGACAGATTTGTTTTGAAATGAAACGCTCACATTCTGGTTTTGACAATGTCCTACAGTCATGGTCACTTCTGGCTTAATATTAGAAATGACTATAGCAGCAAAATATCTAACAGGAATGTAAAAAAAAAAAAAAAAAAAAGGAAATCAAAGATGAAAAAATAAATTAATCTCAGAAACACATTGTAATGGATATCATGAATTAGCAGAAAGCAACATCAGATAAACAAACATACATTTTTTTTAAAACTTTTAGAAAATGGATTTTTCTGAATCCTCCTGCATTTGGATGCTTCAGAATGGGATACCACAATTACTACAACTGTCACTGCAGGCCAAGATGGGCAATGGTGACATTGTATTCAGCACTCTGTGATGCCTCAGACAAGCAGATGTCACAAGAGAATTACAGAGAAGGGAAGCATGAATATTCAGAAGGCTAATTAAAATGCATCTCTGCAAAATATTCCCAACAGCCCGATTAGTGAAGAAATGAACTCGAGACCAGAAATATGGGCTAATTTTCTTTTTGCTTTGTGTTTTACTTCTTACCATAATTTGATTGCAAGATGGGGTTCTTCTGGTTGCTTGTAGGGATCAATAGTACAAAGAGCGTGTGTGGGAACTGCTGAGTCACAGCCTGAACCTCTGATTGATCACCTGAGGTTGAGCACTGAGTCAGCCATGGGAGCACAGGTGCAGGCAGTTCAGCTGTGCTGCTGGAAGGGGGGAGCCTGGCTGCACCTCTCCTAGACCCATTTAAGGGCTGACTGCCAGTAGGAAAGGGTCTCTTCTAGAGATCCCCTCCTCTGGAGTTTCATAGTGAGCCCAGGATGTGGGTAAGCATCTTATCTATTCTGTTTTGATATAGTAACTGCATAGCCAAGCTCTCTGGTATATCTCATAACTATAACATCTGTACATTCACTGATTATATAGAGCGTCATGACATTTAGACAGAAGTACTTGCTGTGTATTTCTTCAAATGCTCACCATATTGATAGCATCTTATTTTTTAAATAAATATAGTAACAACTGAGTTAACTGCAACAGTTAAACATAAAAGCTAACTGCCAGCTTATCCCCTCACCTCCTTTTACTCCAGTGGAGATAAGAATCGGAGGAAGCCCATCTTCAGGAATTAGATTCATTGCACTGCCAACAGGACTGCCAACCTGAGTTATACTTCCCGAGAATACAGAAGCATTATCAGTCTATAATAAGCAAACAATAAGAAAAGACAATATTACAGAAGAGAATTAAGAGCTACCTAATTAGATTACCTATATCTAGGTGAAGGACTTTACGTCTACAGCAGGAACAGAAGCATCAAGTAATCTGTCTCTTTAAAAATAGATTACGATGACAACTCTTGTGTGTGAACTTTTATTAAAGAGCCTGCTCAGAGACTGCATCTCCCTCCTCCAGCACCACACATACCAATTTCCTTTGTAAAAGTACATGCTAATGTACCCATGGCCATTTGCACTTGCTGAAAAGTCACAATGCTGTTCACGTGGAGCATGGTGCATTTAACACTGTTAGATCCCATCTGCATTTTCATGCATAAATCACTTCATGAGAAGTTTCATGCAAAACATTTTTCTGTTTTGTGCTATGACAATCTAATACAAACCCTTACTGGCAGTGACTCAGCTTTTTTCAAACATGCATTACATAAATGTGCTCCACACACAGCCTGCACAGCTCAAGCCTTGGAAGCCACCTAGCACATAAGCTTTAAACAATGCTTTAAATGCTCTATCTTATAAGCGTTCAATTTTAGGCCAAAATACACATTTGCTTCAGCACTCTGCAAACATGGAAATAAGTGAGGACACTTGCTAATAACATGCTAAGAGAAGCCTCAACAGATTTTCCACATTAGCCTTCCTAAAATCACAAACTCATATGACCAAAGTAAGCCTGGTGTTTTGAATGGTTACTAATGTTTCCTTACTTCTGCTGATAAAGCATTGTTGGTTACGGGCTTTGTTGGATCGTGCGATACTGCTAAGGTTCCTGTAGAAGTTGTTCCAGCTACTGTCAGCTTTGCTGCATCAGCAACTTCTCCATTGGGTAATATCCCATCAGCAAACCAAACGCGTCTTTGTTCTCTAGGTTGAGCCACTGGAGAGAGGAAAAAAAAGGTATTTAACATCTCACAGCAACTCTGACTCTCTATGGCAGCATCACACATAAACTGAACACTCATCTGCTGAGAGTAGTTTACATGTCCTTAAAAAACTTATGTCTCTAGAGAGGGCAGGAATGCCACGTTGGCATTAGCTAGAAAACTCACAGCAGATGAAGCACAGATATTCTCAACAACTTCTTAGTACTGCTAAACCTGAAAGGGAAAAAGAACAGAACTATCTCTTACCTTCTGCTCCAGGATGCTTTAGAACTCCCACAGGTACCATGACAGTGGGAGGTGGAGAGCTCAGGGCGCCCGATGCCTGAGCCTGCTGCAAAGGAGGGATAGTAGAACAGTATTCAGCAGGATTGTTAGGGTTAGGACTCTGGCTCGGGGCACTCATCATGTTCTCCCAGGCTTGAGCTAAAGCAAACAAAGAACAAGAAACATGAGCAGAGAAAAGTACCTAAGACTCCAAAAACGCTGTGTTAAGTTCTCAGCTGCTGTAGCTCTGGACTCTTGACACCTTAGAAAGACAATCTCTGTTCATTTAAAAGCTGAAGAGACTGTAATTTAACAGTGAAACACACAGCATTAGGAGAAAGGTCACTGATCCTATGCAATGACAATATCAGTTTGTACAGAAATATCTTCTGAAAACTTTAACAGTACAATTAAACTGACTGATGCAGAACGAGGCGTGAAGAACTAAGCATTTCTGAATATATATTTATATATCACATATATATCTTCGTCACACAGTATTTCATTAGACTTCAGTGGACATTCCTCATTCCTACTACAAGTGTTTAATAAATCTACTGAGATGTCCTGTAGGTTATTTTCTGTACATGACAAAAAGTCACCTTACATTTCTTTATATTCAAAGTCAATTATTTACAGATCAACTTATATTCTTCACTATAAAAATACCAAAAAACCCATATGCTATCAATTTTGAAGGAATTACCTGAACCTTAGTTTAACTACCCAAACTATAATGCACCAAAATCCTGTTGAAAACATCCATCACAGGGAAATCTCTCCTCTGTCCAGAGAAGCAGACAGAGTAGATTATACCTCCAAATTACAACAACAACTACTTCATCTGTAAGGAAGACTTGTAGCTATGCAAGTTACCAGAAAATTCAACTGTGTGTTTATAGCCTGTCCACGTTAGTTACAAATAAATGCAACTCTCCAGCCAGGCATAAATATCACACTACCTGAATTCTCAGAGCAGCTTATAAGTCTGAACAAATCACATGCATCTTTGGGTTCCTTTGGCTATAAGTTGTCATAAAGCCAATGTGAAGGTAACAAGACTGAAAAGAGAAAAGAAAAAAAAACCACCACAGAACACAAACCCTTCTACTTCTTCCCATCAATCTGCAAGATCAGTAGATTGAAATATTATCAATGGAAACAGTACTGACATTTGTGATGAAAGTTTAATTATTTTTAACAGCAATTCTGTATGCATTTAACAAGTGTCCTGAAAGACATGTTAAAAATGCACCAAAAAGTTACTTCTCCAAGATCTCATAATTAGAAAATTCATAACAGAGTGAAAGAGCATTTTTAAAGCCTTCTCTTGATCTACCAAAGTGCCAACGCTGCATATCTACCAACTGAAAAATACAGCAACTGTGGCATTGGAAGCTTCTGAAGTATGTAGTCTGCCCATAAGAAAGTGACAGAAAAAACCCCACAATCCTCCCTCAACATCTTACTAAAATATAAAGCAGGTACTGAGCAACCAAATGAATTTATGACTTTTAAAATACAATTCCTATTGCCAAATCCAAAACTGTGCAAAGATGCTTAATCTGCTGCACTGAGAGGAAAAAAAAAAAAGAAACCCTTACTGGAAAACAAACTGCAAGAAATCTGGAGAAATCAGACACAATCATACAATGGGGAAAATAATCAGTAACCAAAAGCATCACCACAAAGCACTGCAGCAGGGACAGCAACACAGAAGTAACTCAGGCAGCACACCTAAGTAGCTCTCTCTCCCTAAAATAAACCAAGCAGTGTCATTCTTTGCTGCCATTAATGTGTTTCCATCCTGGCAACAGGACAGAAAGGCTTTTAAAAGGAAATCATTATAATATGATCAATTTTATTATGCCTTTTTACAAGAACACTTCTGGTTTCAACTGAAATATTTTCATACTCCTTCCTTCCCCCAGCTGAAAACAAATCCTACTCACCACTAAAAGAAGCTGGCTGTCTTATGCCAGGTGTTATGTACTTGTTCTTGTTCTCTTTGAAATGTGCTATTTTCTCCATTTCAAAATGTAAAATTGTCTTTGCTGGGGCTTGCTCTTAACTTCTTGATAGTACTGCCTGCATTTCCTATCACTTTAAATATCTGGCCTGCAAGTTAGTAAGGTTCCCTAGGAATCTGCTTTTGAAGAAACTGGGCATGCATCAATGCTGCTCACTTTTTAAGAGTCCTCTCTTAAGAGCACAGGAGCAGATGATTCCAGTGTAAGTCAAGCGAGCAGGCAGAAGGCCATATTGGTTGAGCATAGATCTTTTTCTAGTGCTTACATGGAAAAAGAAAGCATACAGACAGTCAACAGCAACTTGGACATGAGAAAGCAACGTGCCCTGGCAGCCAAAAGGACCAAGCGTACCCTGGGGTGAGCAGGACCAGCAGTGCCAGCTGGGCGAGGGAAGGGATTGTCCTGCTCTGATCTGCACCGCGCAGCCTCACCTCCAGCACTGTGTGCAGGTTTGGACACCACCATATCAGGACATAAAGCTATGTGAGAGCACCCAAAGGAGGGCTACAAAGATGCTCAAGGGCCTGGAAGGCAAGACTTAGAGGAACAGCTGACATCGATCCCCCAGACTCCTAAATCACTGTTTGTGGAATCCTGTACAGCATCCACAAACAAGTTTTCAAACTCGTGGCAACCTTTCTAGTTTTTGCCTTTTTTAATCATGTTTAGTTGAGAAATTCCTACTTTCCTCAGAGATTACAACCTGATTTCTCAAGAGCCTTGACTTACTATACTTACCCATACAAATAAATGTGGGTCAGTTGTTTTTTTTGTGTGTTTTTTTCTTTTTAAATCATCACTGCAGCTCAGCGCAAAGCCAACAAAGTTCTGCATTTCAGATTCTCTCTCCACTTACCATTCATTAGTACCGAGTGGCAGATTACACACACTCTGGCTTCCTTTCGATCCATGTACAGCAGCTTGCACTTCAGGCTACAGCATGCTGCACAAAAAACCTGGAATCCAAAGGGAAAAAACTTTCAAAAGTGCTGTTCAAAAGCATACAATGAATTCATATAATCAGAGAATACTGGTAAAGCTCTAGACATGCAAAATAAGGAGGCAAATTATCAGTATTTTCCCATTAAAGCCACAGGGGCTGCTATCTGCCCAAGACTCCCTTCCTACCAATCCCAATGAAGTAGCAGTACCTGCAGCACATGTTGTACTGATACTTCATGGTGCTATTTTTTAAAACATGTTTTGCATAGATGACAATGGCTTATTAAATTCCTACCACATTACAATCCCTCACTGATTTAACATTTGATAATGAACATCAGTTTTAAAGCATGATTACTTTCTAGAATCAACTCTTTATAAATACATCAGTCTTCTCTGCGTAAGAGATTGCTGAGGCAGAGATTAATTCAAACAAGTCATTATTATTTGCAGCAGGATGGTTCATCTATATTAGTACCTCTGTTTAATCTCTTCAGATGTATTCCTCAGTCAAGCAAGTACTGATGTATGAAAATGCTTTAAGCTTTCAGTGGATAAAATAAATTTAAAAAATCTGAATGACAGTGATACTGCAGGAAAACATTGTTTCATTTATTAAGGACAAAAAAAAAAAAAGAAGAAAAAGCTCATATTTACTTAATTGCAGACACTACACCATCACAACACTTCAGAGAAATCAAACTGCATTTTACACACACTGGCTGCTAAAAGGGACCCAGTGCAAAATGCCTGGAGGCACAACTGTCTGCAGAACTGCAGTTCGTTACCAGCACATCTCACCTGAGCTGTACCTAACAGTTCCCAAGTTCTGGGCAGGAAACAGTGTTCAGGCTTCCTCCAAACAACCAAATCCATTTTGGAAACAAAATGGAAACGTGCCTATACAAGCATTTTCATGCAGGAATAAAATGCCACCTTTCCACATATGATTTAAAAAAAAAAAAAAAAAAAGTACTCTTAAAACCTTTTTCCCTTTGCTGTAAAAATCATCATCCTTAAACACCCTTAAAAAACCTTTAACAAAGTTGAAAATGCAGTTTTGACTGTCAGCAAAAAGATGAGATACAAATTTTATGTTTTTCCTATCATGGATGATTGTTTCATCTGACAATGGAAAATACATAAATATGTAAGGCAAAATTTATGAGGTTGTTCACCTACATCCTTCAGGCTCTTAATTTTAACTCAAAATTGACTCTAAGCACTTTATTTCTTATCATTCCCCTGGGACTGGTACCTTCCGTTAATCTTGCACTTATTATCCTGAAATTAAAAACAGAGGCAGACTTCCCAGGTGCCACTCAACTATTTTTAAATGCCACTTTCATTTCCAAATCAAATGAACACATTCACCTCTACCACATTTTGTCTTTTTCCTTGGTTGTGCTAAAGCAAAAATCTTTATTCCCATGACCAGTCCCTTAGAAGCAAGAAACTGTCAAATACGAAGATGTTATCTCCCCAACTCTTTAGTGGAGATTTAAGCATTTCATAGAAGCAGTGCAGGCATTACCATGATGCAGCAGTTTCCCACACCACAGGCACACTGTCAACATGGCTTGCATTGGGCTGGCTGTCCTAAGCAGAAGGCAGAGCAGACAGCTGAGCATGTCTCAAGCCACTCCAGCTAGATTCATTAGAGCTTGCCTTTCAAAGCCTTTGGTCTCTCTCCTCCCAAAAACATTACAGAACTTGAATGTTGTGAAGCAATCTGCATTAAGTGCTAAGTAGTATTTGACTTACAGCAATGTGAAGCATTTATAAATGAGTGTTTTCTTCAGAGAAAAAAAAATGTAAAAAGGCATAAAGAGAAGCTTCACAGAATTATCTGCAGCGTTTTTTGACTGCACATGTGCAAATTTGGCCCAGCAATATTAGCTATCACAAGCTTCTAGAAACAAGCTCTTCTGAGGATTATTCTAAGAACACTCTGAGAATATTAAATACCAATACATGTATTTTTCATAACTGAGAAACAATTTTGTCTACAGAGCAGAGGAACCCTTTATTTCATGTATTTCTTATGTATCACTCAAAGCAAGGCTGGTTGTTCTTTTCAAGGTTTGTTGCACTTCTTAAGTTGTTTAAAGGAAAAAAAGAAAAAAAAAAAAGGACACCACATATTTTTGCCTTAAACTATTTATGTTCTGCCCATTTCACATAAGGTTATTCTCAATTTCTGCTTTCTCATTTGTGCAATTCAGGGCTTCATCATTACAGAGAAGTCATTAAATACCAGCAATAAACTTACTTAAAAAACAAGCAAACAAAAAAAGTAGAAAATATTTGGTGTAAATAAAAACTGTAATCATATCAACTCAAAAATGGGACCTAAATAACTGACAGTGTAAGTTAGCACATGAAAGCTATGCAATTCCTTTAACTGACGATGCTCCCTAACTGCCACAAGAACACGAATGAGCCCTTTGATACTAACTGCAAGGTGCACAAAACATAGGCGTGCACCTCTGATGATGCCTACTGATGCCCTGTGGTTACCAGCTCCCCCTCAGGACTTGCACTGCAAACAACCTGAAACAGGATGGCAGAAGTAAACGACTGGAAGTCCTTAACAAGTGCGTAACTAATGTCTGTGCAGCAGTCAGAAGCATCCTGGCAACAACTTCTTAGCAGGTCCTAAAACCAGATTGGTTTAAAATCTACTTACGTGGTGATGCAGTGAAGAAAGTGAGTGCTATGCCTTTTGGTTTCTGAATAGCGAAATGGTACACATACGTAGTGTACCATGGAGAAGTAAGCCTGCTTTCTGATAGGTTGCTTCCAGAAACAAGTGATTTAAGGGTTTGAGCTTTCTAGGTACATTTGCCATCTTTGAAGTTCATTGTTCAAATTGTTCTGCCTCCCTGCACTCTTCTAGCAGCTAAAGATAGTGCCCATAGCATTCTGGAGTCTTCTGACCAACCTCAAGAACAGTAGAATAGAATCCTAAATAAACCAGTATTACTTTTACTCTAATTTTTTGCCAATTGAAATGCTTCTTTTTATGTGTGAATAATTTTAAAATATCTACATGATCAGAGTGTTACGTTTCCTCTTTTGAATAATAATATTTTTTCCCCAAGTTCCTATTTCCCATGTGCCACTGACTTGTGTTTCAGTATCAAGATATTGAGAATACTTCATAAACTCATCATGTAAGAATTTGTGTTGGTCTAGATGGCACTTTTGAAATTGAAAAAAAAAAAAGCCAACAATGAAATACAGAAATTAAATTTTGGTTGTCTTCATTACAAAATTTCTTACCATGCATCCATCCACCAAAGCATAGAAAATTTGACTTTTTTTTTTTTTTCAGGAACAAAGAAACATTCTTTATGGAAGAAGATCCAATAAGAAAAATATAAAATAGTACAGAAAGCTTAAAAGGACAGAATTGAACATATATCTGAAACACCAAGAATGCCAGCAACACTGCACTTCCAATCCCCATTGTCACGGAGTTAACTAGATCAATCTGTGCCTGTGACAGGGCAGCAGCAGGCCCCTGCCTGCCCCCTTTGCCCCCCAGCCTACTGCCCCCTGTCACAGGCATAGACTGATCTAGTTAACTCCATGACAGCTTTTGGGGGAGAATGCGGGCATATCTGCTTTTTAACTGTTAGAACAAATCTCTCTCTGCTCTCAGAGAGCTTCATTAGGGAGCATTATCAGTAGTTCAGGTTTCTGTGCTGGAAAACTTGACCTTGAAAGGCCAGGAGTACTGCCAGTATTCTGGGATATCTGTAAACTCTGAGCACTGCTTAGTCTGGGCATGCCCTTTTCCTTTTTTTCCTTTTTTTTTTTTTTCCTCCTCTTCTTAGCTTCAATTCAGTAACCCTTTTTCAGCAGACACCAGCAATGAACGCCCTCTTTATCGTGGGGGTGCTGTGTAAGGAATTAAAAGCCATGAAGCCACTTGCGACTTGCTGGCCAATTATCAACGTCATAATTACTTGTTGTGGAATTGTGTTCATGTATAACCAACTAAGGGCAGTGATGGAGACACCTGTATGGTACCTATATGCAATGTGGTGTGATTTGAATTTTGACATTGACATCCCAGATGGAATGGCTGATTTTACAAACAACTACATCCCAAATGGAATAATTTTACAAACAACACGATGTTCAGACCAGTTTCCAGGCTTCCCTCTCAGTCTGTCACACGTTTTTCGAATTTTGAATTAATGCTCATTTTGGTGTGTGTGTTATCAGTCTCCCTGAACGTATTCAAAAGCATTCATGATAAGGGGGAGGAGTCTCCTCCAAAACCAGAGAATGCTGACTGGCAGGGAATATGGAGAGGTTTAGGAAAGATTTTAGAATCATGTGGACCTGCAACGTCATGGGATTTCACTCTTGAACACCTGTGGGATCCCGAGAAACTAAGCCAGTATTTGAGTCAGGGATGGTGTGGCTTACATAGATCTAAGGAGGTACAACTTATTTGGGGTTTGGCTTGTGCTTACCGCACCCAATATAATACTATTCTGGAGAGAGTTTCCCAGCTGAGGTTCAAGCCAAAGGGGAAAATCTCCAAGTCAAATCTGATCAATCACAGGAGCCACCAGTAACAATACCAGTTCAAACAGGAAGGACGGAAGGAAAAAAAATGAAAAACAGCAGCAACGATCTATGGAGGAAAACTTACTTTAGTAACTATGATATTGGAATGCAAGGTAACACAATATAATGCAATCTAATTGAAATTGAGACTAATAGATCAAATAGGATAGGAGATAGAGAATTCCTGAGACCGAGTCAAACCTGAAAAGCTTGGAACGGCTAGGAAAGCACCTCCAGCACCCACTGCCAGGCAGTAAGAGAGCATCCCACCCTTAAGGGCCAGATCCCATGACTTCTGTAATGCACAGGGACAGGTACCTGGGACTGGAGCACTAACACTTTAACTCCCAGTGCACTACGTGATGTTATGATGCGGAATACTGAAAACCAAAGAACATAAAACCATGACACCCATCCATGTTTCTATACCTTTGATGGGATTATTGATGCAGTAATTTCTGCAAACTAGTTTCCTGCACTTTCCCATTTCATATCAGTTCTACGTGAATTCAATGCTTGTCGATGACTACAATCAACTAATAGGCTGCTCATGCAGGATTATTCTCACACCTATAAATACAAATAGTTATTTCCCATTAGAACCATAAAGAGATTAGAATGTAGAAACTTCTGTTTTTCCATCACAAATCAAATACAGCTTTTCAGGAAGATGTCACAGTTAAGTACGACCAGCTGCTTAGGAAGTTCTGTTTTGATTTTACGCTGTATAAGCACTGAAAGCATGCTCTGAACTTACTCAAAGATTAGGAACTCACCTTCCCACAAGCTCTGCAGTGATGCCTTCTTTTTGTGAATGTGAATCTCGCCTCACATTTCATGCAGTTTGGTGCTTGAGAATCTGGAACCCAAACTGGTGCCACCTCACCCAAAGTAGTAAAAGGCTTTCTGGCTGGAGCTCCAAACTGACCAGCTCTGAGATCATTGTCTGGACTATCTGGGGCTACTGCAAGGCACGGACTACTAGAGATTCCAGATTCATACTCTTCTATGTGTTCTCCATTAGTGTCAGTAACAGGGGCATTTAATGATGCTTCACCGGGAAACACATCTGCTGTCAAGTTATCCCCTAATTGTGTCTTAACAAAGACATTTTTGTTTTTGCTACTACCTCCACAGTTTGGGGGAACAAGATCATTTTGTAAGTGGTCTGATAATGGCTTTGGGATCTGCAATTTAAGATTTGTAGGTTGTTTTGGTCTTGCACCACCAAAAGGAACACTAACAGACTGCAGATTAGTCACTGGTTTTGGTGAAGTTTGCCCTTGCAGGGATGGCACCTGACTACAGAGATTATGTATATAGTTCTTCTTTATGTGGTCACCAGCACTGTTTAAAATAAGACCACTTCCTTCTATGGTCTCATTTCCTCTCTGTTCATAAACATTCGCATAACATTCTGACTTGCTCTCCTCTATCTCCTTTTCCTCAGTTACCGAGTCTTCCTTGGAGGGTAAAGTCTTTGGAACATGAGGAACAACTGGGTTCTGCATTCCATAGGAATCACAACCATTAGACAGAGAGCTTGCTATTGATGTACCTGTCGCATCAGAGAGCCTGGACCCTTCAGACTCGTCTGTACCAGTCCCTTTTAAGTCTATGTCTGCCTCCATCTTCCCATCTCCACCTTCTCTGTTTCTACTACATGCTTCATCAGGCTGTTTTGTCTGCAGAAGTCTTTCATTCTCTTCCACAGTTTGCTTATCATTAATCTCATTCAATCTAGTCAATTCCCTATTAGTCATCTCCTGAGATTCAGGGTAACACTCTCCCATACCGGGCACTTCAGATGTGCTAAGATTTTTACCACATTCAATGACTTCACTTTCAATGGCACTACCATCCTCAGAGGTAAAATGTTCTGCAACACATTCCTTGTAGCTGCCACTTCCAGCCACATTAGATTGACAAGTTTCTTCAAGCCCAGATACCCTAGAACATATTTCTTGGGTTGTTTCTTCTCCTAAGCTTCCATTACTTGAACCAGAAGAAAAGTTTTTAACTTCTAGATCTGTTCTCTGAGGAATGGCTTTACTACTAAAATTTTCAACTGATACACAATTTTCTTGCATTTTAATGATAGCATCAACAGGTCTCTTACAGAGAGTCACTGTATTAATCCCTGCAGCTGTAGCTTCTGAAAGCCATGAATCTTTACTCATATTAAAATCATCCTTTAAGCAAGAGGACGGGCTTGCAACGGTCAAGGTTTCAGATGAAGCGTTGAACAAATTACTTCTAGAGTCATCTTCGGTACATAGCCAATTTACTTGCTTTTCTGTATCTGCATCTTTTTCCATGGATCCATTTACAGTAACACTAAACTCATCACTCTGTTGGTTTTCATTATCCAGTGTAAAGCTAATAGTGTCCATTAGGGACTGACTGTTGTAATTTTTACAATCCAGCAAGTCACCACTTTGCAGTGTTCTTCTGTCACAGTTATGCATAACTGCCACCACTAGTACATTTTTCTCCTCTGGCAAGCAAGCTATACTTCCACATTTCTTTTCTCCAGATTCCACAGCGTTACACTGATCATCCCGACTACTACTTCTTTTAATTAACTGATCGTCTGCTGCTGCCTGATCATCAATCCACATGACTGGAGTCTCTGGGCTTAGGCTAAAATCCTTTCCATTAGCACAGTGATCCTCTCCTCCTGTTGGTGCAGTCACTGAATGAGACAAGGAGAACGACTTTAATCTCTGCTGACATTCATTAGGAGTTGTAGCTTCGTTCGCATCAGCCACAGTCGGGTTATACGACAGACGACGTGAAGGCGGATCTAGAATCTGATTCCACTTTGCACCCAACAGTGTAGGTGAAACAGCAGCATCTGAAAAAATTGTTTACATTATTAATATGAAAAATTACTGTCCTAGTAGATTCTATTAACTCTGTGGCATTAGAACATCCCAAACATAAATGAAAAGATATTCAAATATTGGTAGAATTGTAAAATTAATATCCTTTATCAACCATTAATTGATAGACCATTAATTGTCTTGTTACAAGATGTTTCTGCAACTTAAGAATTTTAGATCTATCCAATTAGTATCAGGTTCAATCCAAGATACAGGGTGGAGAACTGCTTGAGAGCAGCCCTGAGGAGAAGAATTTGGATGTGCTGGTTGATGAAAGACCCACAAAGAGGGACATCAAGCTGTTGGAGTGAGGTCAGAAGAGGGCCACAAAAATGATCGTAAGACTGGAGCACCTCCCCTACAGGGACAGACTGAGTGAGTTGGGGCTCTTCAGCCTGGAAAAGGCTCTGGGGGGAGCAACTCCCAGCACCAGCTGCTGGCAGCCTTCCAGTAACTGAAGGGAGCCTACAGGAAAGCCACAGAGGGAATTCTTACATAAGGGCATGTGATAGGATGAGAGGAAATAGCTTTAAACTGGAAGATGGTAGATTTAGACTGGATATTAGGAAGAAATTGTTTATTGTGAGGGTGGTGAGACACTGGCACAGGTTTTTCAGAGAGGTGTGGATGCCCCCTCCCTGGAGGCTTTCAAGGCCAGGCTAGATGGGGCTTTGAGCAGCTTGATCTAATGGGAGGTGTCCCTGCCTATAGCAGGGGGTTGGAACTAGATGATCTTCAAAGTCCCTTCCAATCCAAAGCATTTTATGATTCTATCGTGAATTTGGACAAACAATTTTAAAAGTATCAATTAATGTATTTTACATAGCTTGAAATGCCTAAAAAGACTCCCATTACGTTCAGCCTCTTTGACAGTACAGACATAGCAATTAGACAAAGCAAAACTTTAAAACTTCAAATATCGTAACTCATGAAATTAACATCACCTAATAAAACATTTCTATGCTCGAGTCTCACAAAACTACAAAAGCTGCTTAGAATAAAGACACTTGGTCTCATTTGTTTAAAACGAATCACAAAAAATATAGCTATTGAGATGAAACTCCACAAAGCCTTTCTTTGAAATGTTTATTGAAGGCTTTCTATCAAAAGAGAGAGGAACAAATATTTAAAATGAATAAACAAGATGAATGGAAGCTGAAGAAAACGCTATTAACAAGTTCTGAACACACTCCATATCAAATCAATAGATATATTTTCCAAATTTTGAGATACATTTGTAACTCAAAAAACCCAAAATTCTATCATAGACCACCCCCTTTCCATTGGTTTTCACTATGGAACATCATGCATCTGTGATCTCGTTCAGAATTACTCACCTTCGTTTTGCTCAAATTCATCTAAAACCTTATCGAGGTTATACGCCTCTGCTTGGAAATAGTTCTCCATTTGTCAGGGAATGACCACCAGATTCTTGTCTGAACCTGACAAACACAATAAAGTACAATCAAGTATCTACATTTCTGTTCCTCTGTTTTAAGAGGCAAAGAAGACATCTGTAAATCACATTTTAAATATATTACAATCATAAAACAAAAGTTTATAAATTATTTGCGTGTTTAAATTCGCCTAATTCAGATTAACCACCTCCCCAAACTTGCTTTAAGATTTTAATATTATCTCCAAGTTTATAGAAGTAATCTTTAAAAAGTTAGCATATAAGCCAAAAAAAAAATCTTGATTTTTTTATAGCATTTACGAACATGTGCAGAAGAATATGCTTTTTAAAATCTTGCTACACACAAAGTAGAAGTGTTGATGTAAACCAGGTGTCTGCAGAAACAACATTTGAAGAATGCAGGTTCATTTTTACATGCTGGCTGTTAGAGGAACAGAAAATATCCTCATCAGATGAATAAAAAATAGTAACCAAACTGGGTTTGCAAACTTGTGTCAGTTCTAAGCAGAATGTATTCCAAACCACAGAACTTAGAAAATGCTCTGTGTGTGTGTGTGTGTGTGTGTGTGTGTGTGTGTGTGTGTGTGTGTGTCCCCACGTTTCATTCTGCACATTTCCCAGTTAATGACAGGTCTTTTTCAGAGGCCAAAATAAAGGGATTTTCTTTTCAGGACTTGGGAGAATAATATACACAAGAAGCACATCAAATTGATTTCTGCAATTTAGAAAATCTATGTTTAGAAAATTCTTTTTAGGATAGTATAAAAAAAGGGAAAATCATGTAGTTCTTCCTTTTGCAGCATTAACTGGAGGAGAGCAAAATGCAACCTACGTACAAAAAAACATTATTTTTCTCATGTTTCAAGCTTTTCATTACATATCACTGCAATTTTCATCATGATTTAGACCACTGAGATTTTCTTTCCACCACAATACACAGGGAAGGAGAGAAGGACTTTTGAAAGAACTGCTACCTTAACTGCTGGGGCAAAAATACAATCAACAATACAGCCCTGAAAACATCAAAGCCAGTCACATGCTTTTACCCTCCCAGCTCACCATCAATGCTTACCTCAGCATCTGATAGCATTGTTTCAACTTTTTACATTCAAAGAAAACATTGACCTCGACCTGAGCATTTCAACAGAACAGTCAGAGCCAGCAATACTCTCTAAGCCATTTCAAAAGCCAAATGATGATGTCAGTGCAGCCTTCCTTATATTGCCACATTAATGTCTAACTGTAGGGATCACCATAATGATGAGAGCAAAACTGCTCCAGCATCAGTCAGAAAATAACACTGCCCAGAAAACCAACTATGCACCAATTTGAAGATCCAGCTTTTGGCTTCATGCTACCACTGATTAGTCCACACAGCTTTGAACAAGTAGCCTAAACTCTGTTTCTGTTTTTGTAATGTCTCCTAGGCTAGCAGTATTCTGATTCACTCATTTCTCAGAGATGCTTCAAAGATTCCTGCTTGAAAAGTAGGAGTAAACAGGTGTTAGTAGAATTATGCTAGCTCTTAAAATGCCTGCTTTAAGAATTCTTGTTTCTGTGATAGGCCAGCACCAGACATCTAGCAAAGGGCACAGAAGTAAGCAGCTCCATCAAGAGATAACATACTCTGGTTAAAAAGGGAAAAAAAGAAAAAAACACACCAAAAAACCTAAAGCCATTAAATAACCTTCTATAATTCCTTATAATAAATAACATTTTCACCTTTACACCTTAACAGTGGGAAGATGGTCTTCATGCTACTGATGACTTAGAGCAACAAGACACTGTGATTCATTTCCTGAAAACACTACCAGTGAAGGCATTTTCACTGAGAAATGTGTGTCATAACCCATATACCATAAAGAGAGACCTTGATTTGATCTGTTCTCTGAACACCATCCAAAATATTCTCTTCAGAGCTGGCTTTCAAATGCTGTGAAATATAGAAATGGAGGAGGAAGGGGTGAGAACCTTGTTTTGCAGTAAGAAACAGTGTTAGACCTGACAGCTAGACTCCAGCTCAACTAAAAACCAGCTCCTTTACACTAGAGATACAGACAAGAAACAAGTCAGAGAAACTTCCCCATTTGACACTAGACATTGTTTCAATGTTATCTGTGTATTTCTACAATTTGAGGAAAGCATCAACAAGTTTCAATTACTACAACATTAATTTTTACATTATTTAACATACTTGCTTTCCTGAAGAAGGTAAAGCCAAGTTCTGACCTCTAGCTGTGGCACTGTACTCTTTGATCCCTTAGGCATCTACTTTAAGGTCCTGCTGACCTATCCTGCCTGCCCAGTCAAGGCATTATAAATCCTCCACAGTGCTTTAACTAGAACAATTACATTTAGTATACAATGAATCCAAAGCAAATACTTCTCCTTAGACATACAAACGCTCAATTCATTTGAACTACAACCAAACTGCAAGAGTTTGTAGGTTCTCTTGCACCTTTCCCTTCTACTCCTTTCAATATCTTGATGAGAAGCACCTAGACCAGTTCTGTAAATATCAATACTGAAGTTAATTAGAATCTGTTCCAATAAATGTTTTGCTTCATTTTTTTCCACTCAGAGTTCTGAACATCTGCCTCAGTTAATGCACTACAGTAAAATCCTTTTATACAAAATGCCATATAATTTCACATCCATGTGTAACAGATTTAACTTACATGGCAATGATAACATTCCAATCTAGCAAAACCCCATCGCTAGGGTCAATGATACAAATAATATTTGTCAGTGGAAGCACAATAAGACTAAAAAGCAACAACCAGAATTCTTGTTTAACAGAGTTAAACTGTGACGCTCTCTGAAACCACCACCATCAGATTTCAGTGCACTGCCATTGTCAAAAAGGACATGCAGTCAAGGCATTCACTTGGGCATAAACTCAAACCACAGTACGGGTGGCCCCAAAATAGGCTCCAAGCAGTGATCTTTCTGTTTTGTTTATTTTAGGGAAGATAATGATTAATGTCAAGCAAGTTGATGGGGAAGGAATGTGAGGCTGATTACACAGTTGCTGAAAACATGCTTTAAAGTAACTCTTTAAACCAGTGCATTTTGACTTTGTGTATCTTTCAGACATTCAGAAGAATTCGCAACAGCTGACCATTCATACAGCTTTGAAACGTGACTGAAACACTGACAGAATTTAGAACTAACTCAAATCTGTGTACACTACAGCAATAAGGCATTTCTGCCCAAATATTTCCTAAATTCAGTGTTTTTTTGTTTGTCATACAAATCAACAAGATTGCTGAAACAGAACCACAGAATGGTTTGGGTTGGAAGGGACCTTAAAGACCACCCAGTCTTAACACCCTGCCATGGGCAGGGCTGCTTCCCACCAGATCAGGCTGCCCAGGGCTCCATCCAGCCTGGCCTTCAACACTTCTAGGGATGGGGCATCCACAGCTTCTCTGGGCAGCCTGTGAGAGTGCCTCTCAACCCTCTGAATAAATAATTTTCTCCTAACCTCTAACTAAATGCCCTTTTAGTTTAAAACTGTTCCCCCTTGTCCCAATCAGACCATGTAAAAAGTTGGCCTTTGTCCTATTTGTAAGCTCCTTTTAAGTACTGAAGGACCTCAATGAGGTCTCCCTGGAGCCTTCTCTTCTCCAAGCTGAACAAGCCTAGCTCCCTCAGCCTTTTGCTGTAGGAGATGTGCTCCAGCCCCCTAATCAAATTGCACCCAACCAAAGAGAGCAATGTTAGACTTTCACAATAAACATTATCATTTTTATTTACCTTAGTCAGAGTTTGGCTTTTAAATCTTACATCATGGTTCTATAACACCAAAAAATACAAGTATTCAGGCTTCAGAAACCACACGTCTAACAATAACAAGGGCATGTAAACAAGACTTGGAATTTTGTCCCCATTCCCTTATAATCCCAATGGGTTAATACTTCATAACAATTCCATGAGATGATAATTTTATTAAAAGCAGTGCTAGTATTTAAACATCTAATATCTGCGAGTTTAATTTTGGTCCAATATGTGAAGAGATTTTTTTCTATACTTCTAAAATGTAAACAACTACATGCAACCATTGGAATTCTGAAGCTCAAACACAAGTGCACAAGCATGTACTGAGACAAAATCCAGTCTGGTGGATGCTCATAATACAAACTGAAGAGGGAAAACATGTTTTTAATAAACGTTACCATTATTTCCCATATGACACAGCAGGATATGCAGAGAACCTTTTATTTTTAAACTCACAGTCACTAAACTCTCAGCCACTCCAAATGTGATCTCGTTGTCTATGCAAGTAGGTATTTCTCTGAAAAGGTCCTCAGGTCTAACATTTAAAATTGTAATTCTTATATAAAAGAACACTTCAACACTTTTCCTGGGGCTCCATCCAAGCAAAAAAAACCAACTGTGAAATCCACAAAAGTTCTTACTGCTCTCTTACTGACAGAAAAGGAGCATCAGCACTCATGTTCCTGACATACAACCACAATCCTCTTGATCAATACACTGTCAACATCTCCTATATTTACCAGTTTAAGATCTAATATTTCAACTGCACAGCCAGATCAAAAGAGATAACACAGAAGCTCTCAAACAGCACACTACAATAATCTGGTAGCTGTTGTCGCCATGGGTCAGAATTTATTTTAAATATTTATATTGATGGTCCAACGTAAAGAAAACCATATATATTCCTTCATAAGCCTTTGGAAATTTGATTGTAACTCATAGGTACCCCTAAGAAAGTTTGGGACAGCTCGGGAACTATTCTAGCCCAAACCTTCTCTTAGTTTCAAAGAAGAAATGACATTTTTTAAGGGATCATTCATAGCTGGGACACTCTTCAAGCCATGGCATGGAGAGACGCTGAGAAGCAAACATAAATCAAACTCTGGAAAAGTATGGATGAAGACATGAACAGATTAGGAAGAAATTTCAATGGTGATTTTAGCTACACATTGCCAAAAATGTCTTTTTTAAACTAATACATATTGGAATGAGGATATTGTGCTAGTGCAAGCAGAAGACATAAGCCTCGAATCCTGTGAAAAACATTAAAACAAAACAAAAAAGAAACACAAAAGGAACATGCAATCTGACATTCAATTATCTCCAGGCTCCTGTTGGCTCACAGATCAGGCACAATTCATAAACTCTGCGTTTTACTCATCAATTTCTTCACAAAACAGCATCTTCACCTCTAAAACCTAAAAACCTATGTTTTAACAAGATTATATGCTTTACCCTCCCTTAGCATCTAAATATAAAGCTTCATTTTCCAGAATGTTTGTGCCAGATATAGAAGCAGAATTACTATCCTAGTCATGACAGCATCTAGACCTAAAACAAACTTCAGTAGGTTATTGGAGAGGGAGGGAACCAAGGAAAAGGACAGAAAGATCTTAATTAATAGTTGTTGGTATTCTGAACAAGCTTAACCTTGGAGGCTGCCTCTCAAGGTAGCTCAGATGTCCTACATGCCTGCTTTTTCTCAGGAAAGGATATGTACATATAGATAGGCTTAGTGTTGTACCTGCAAAGGGCAAGACTTACTTGTTTCTCTCTCTGCAATATGGAATTACATAACCTATGATCTTCTTTCCACGCTGGATGTCATACATTACCCTCAAGAATCCTTCAGCACTGGAACTGACAGCATTTCAGTTTCTCCACTCTCACAGTACATGACTAGCACATGATCACACTAACACTATATATTAAAAAAATGCACCAAAATGAAATACCAGCATACAACTGTTAACGTCGCAGAAAAGGCCTCCACATCAGGCAGTACGTAAACAGGCAGAATAAGACTTCAGGACTTTCTATCACACTGCCTTGTGTGCAGACTTCTCTGCTTCAATACAGAACTGTAAACATACAGATTTCAGTAAACACTTACTAAACAACATACTCAAGTAGTTTATTGTAGCCATCAACAATAACACGTATGAAAGGCTCCTAAGCTGAAAATCACAAGGGGCACAACCAGACTGAAAACAAACTTCATCCTGAGTTTGAATCCAGAAAATGTCATCTTCTCATTGCATGACAACACAGAACTGACTATCAACTGGACAAACTGATTTGTTAATTCTAATGCTCCTGAAGACCATCTTCAATCTCAGGAAAAAGTCCATGTATTTTTGCAGCTCCCTTTAGTGACTTTTATATTATTTGCTCCGGGGATTCAAAGTCAAGCACCTCTATTTTAATGAACACCCTGTTTAGAGATTTCAGCATTAGTTGTACTTTTAAGTGATAAGGTCTGCCTGCGGCACAGACTGAGGAAGAAAGACTGCCTGCTCCCCACCCCAAGGAAAACAAGACATCTCTGCTCTGTAACAAGACAATTACTCTCAATAAAGATCAAAATCACAAAATGCTAAAAATACTCCATTATCTCAGGTACAAGATAACATACATATGTATGGGTGCACATATAAACGTAAATCCATACACATACATAAGAACTCAAGCATTTCACATGCATAATCCCTAAGCCATTATATTCTAAAGAGAAGTTGCCTCTTACCTTTTTTCTTATACATTTGTTAAGAAACGAATGACCCTGTGCCTACTCATGATGACTGCAGCACAATCAGCCAGTTCTGCTGAATCAGTGTGTTCTTTTTGATCCTAAAAAGAAAACATAAATACGCATTTTGTAACTGGTAGTTCTGCCACAAACCACGTTGTTTCAACACTGTTAACACAGATACATATGGCAAATGCTGCAAGCCTCTAAATGATTTAGATTACATATGCAGCTTTTAATTCAGGGGTATATGCACAATGTCACTATTGTACACCAATATCCTCATGAAAAAGGCTTCTCATATAAAGCACACTGCTACCTACTGACAATTATTCTTCATTTAATCCTAAACTCACAGAGTGAGACAACAACTCTAATTGTTTTTGTATCCCTCGTGACCTTGACTGCAATGCTATATTTATAAAATTAGTCTCTAAAGTTCATTACACTACATTACAGTAGGCCTTCCAAAAATAAAAAGCTAGTAGCTTTGATACTAGACAAAAATTCATGACCCTCTGAGTTCTGTAAACTGCGTTTATCAGCTTCCCACTGATTTTGTTGTAGCTAAACTGTTTTTGTCTACAAATTATTCCTCCTACAATCCTGGGCTCCCTTCACTTCCAATCAGCTTATTCTCTCAAATACCACCATGGCATCAACACTTAATAGCAGAGAAGACCCAGGCAGAAAAGTCTTCAGAAGTCCCTTGTTCTCCTAATTACAGATTTTTTCAAGGTCAGGTGATCATTTTCATGGTCTGCATCCTGGCACACAACAGAGCTCAAGAACCCAATACAGCCATGAGAAAAGAAGAAAGGCTTTAACAACCAAACAAGAACAAGGACTGAAATAAGTTAAGGTACCGGTATTTGACCTGTTAGGCAGTTGAAATATATATTAGCACTTTGATGAAGCAGCTGTATGTATGCTAGGGAAAAAATAATTATCTTACAACTCCAACAAACAGAGGAAAAACAAATAAACAGTACCAAAAAAAAACCAAAACAAAATAAAAAAAACCCCTCAGTTTTCCACACATTAAAACAATATTCGGTGTTACACTACAAATTGCCCAGGGTTGTTTATTATTCTTTTCAGAAATAAACTACAGTAATAATTCCAGGAAACCAATGAACTGAACAGGAGCACTCTTAGTGCCATTTCCAAATTCAGAATAAAATCGCACAGCTTTGCCTGCCAACAGAACCGTTCCTGTAGGCAAAATAAAAACGTTCATGCCATGTGTATTTCAACTCCTATAAGCTGAGTTGTGGATATTTGGGAAATATTAACAATTATTGTATAACAAAGTTCTTCAGGTGAGCTTCTTAATGCACACAAAAATGAAGGTGTGCAAAAATTCAATTCTACTGAAAGTCTTCAGAATGATGAGATGTGAAGTAACATGGCAGCTGAACAAGGTATTCTCACCATGCTCCTTACTGGTCTGTAGACACAAGAAAATGATTTGGTTTCCACGACCCTTTTGCAAGACAATCCTCTTTGCAATTTATGGCTAGGCCTATCGAGTGCATCAGGAACATCAAACACATTTCACACTAAGCAGTCAGTCATACATTAACCACAAACTTCTATCTCTGCCAATCAGAAATGGATCAGACCTAGCAACGCACAGCTGAAACACACTGTGCTGTTACCAGTGCTCTAAGCCAGCAAGCCTACCAGGAAGGCAATATCCAAAGCAATAATATAGTTTTACTATTCACTGCTTTTATTCTGACTCATTTTCCTTGTTCCATTCTTACCATGTAATAATTTTTTGCCTTTAACACAGAGGAACGCAGATTCAGACAATCATAACCAGCCTCTGAAGAGAAAGCTTTGAAGAGCTGTTACCTGGAGGTCCTACAGCTTTTTGTTTACAGTTCAACAATTCATCGCCACTTTCTCCTTTCAAAGATCAAAGCATACTTACAGATATGGATGTATTTATTAACAAAGCAATTTGTAAAGGAAAAAAAGTAAATTGTACCAGTTGGGTTTCATGAGAGAAATGAAACTCAAGTTGACAAAGTCAAGTTCTTTTTCCAAGAGTGTACCAGAATAGAATCAAGAAGAGTAACTACAAAGGAAAGCCAAGAGTATTTACAACAGCGTAAAAACTAGTGATTATTAAGCTTTTCTTACTGCTAAAAAATGGTTCCATCACACTTTAAAAAAAAAAACCAACAACCTAACATATATTTTCACCTAAAAACGGTGTATCTACTGAAACATAAGACCACAAAGGAAGGAGGCCCTGTGTCTCTGCTGTTCCAGATTGCTTACTTGGTACATTTCACAGTTTCTTATCTCTTCTGCTGATGGTTGGCTGAACTTTTTGCCTCCTGCCCTACGGTAATATCACTCAGGTGCTTCTTGGTTAAAATACTACATATATGATTTCCCTCAGGAGCTCCAAGAGGGCGTCTGCCAATTACTGCAAAGGCAAAACAGAAATTGAAGAGAAATTTGACAAGCAGAGACGTGCCCAGAATAAAGAAAGGATGAAGAACAGAAAGAGAGCGCTCTAAAAATATAACGTTAAAAATATTTTTAACAAAAAGGAATGTAAAAAATGTTTACAAAACCAAATGGAAATAATCCGAATAGGAATTGGAACAGCTTACAATAAATGAAGAGACTGAAAGAGCAGCAATTTTGACACTATGTAAAAAAAATTAAAAAATGCAGAAAACTCAAAGCATGAAGAGATGCTAAAAAAGGCTTCCATCTACTGGCAAGGATCCAACTCATCACTACACTACAGATCCTCTATAATGTGCTATCGGTGAGAAGATGTCTTTGAGTAGGCAGAAATACATCTGCAGCCATTTTAATGCACTTTGTTATTGCAAGAGTAATTGAATAAGGTATTATCATAAATGCAAACCCAGATTTCAGTGCTGGTATCTTAAATTCCTACTAGTCTATTCACTGGAACCATCATCAGATGGGAGACTCAGAGAGATGACACACAGTGAATGTACTCAGGTCTCAAACACTGCAAAAGTGAAAACTGCAAAAAGAAAAATACTTTAAGCAGGAGTGGAAACAGGTAACGAGCTTCAGGTCACACATCAATTAGACAAAACAAATTATTTTCAATTAATCTGAATTGTAAGTCTTCACATGTGGAAAAGGTGGGGTTTCTCCTTCACTCAAGTGATGAAATGCTTTGAACAATGGTAAATTATCTTGTGCAGTTTATCACTGTAACTGTTCCTTATTGGCCTCTCACAGATGAAGCATCAAGTTTCACACATATGTGTTTGATTACTTTTTAAGAATTAATGTAAACAGAAAGACAGACTACTGCCTAGGACTGTTCCTCCCACAAACCAGTCCTCCACACCAGTCTCAGGGTATGCTGTCACAACAGCACCCATATGGACAGCACACATCCAGACCAAGGAATGAATGGAAGCTTCATTCTGCAGTGCTGTTGTCTTTCCTGAACTTCATCAATTCTCAAACAGCTATTCATCCTATACAAAGACACTACTGGGCTGTTTTCATCTAGCGTGTGCCAAACAGAAGGAAGGGGGGGCATGAGAGAATGCCTGTGGTGTAGCAGTAGCTCTATCTGAGTCACATTCATGAAAATGGCTGCAGCGGCAAGGGCTTCAGATTAGACCACGAATTAAACATGAATTGTTCTCTTAGTAAGTTAAGCCAGTAGTGTGTAATGCGACCCCAAAAAATTGTTTTCAAAATTCAAAGTTTTTTTTTTCAAAAATACCTTGTCTAAAATGCGAAAATTCCATTAAAATGTGCCTTAAATCCACTCAGTGAGAAATATTAAAAACAGAAGAGATGAAATTATAACAAATACAAACAAGACAGTCCCTGCTAATCCTTTTCCTGCACCAAAAACTCAAGATGTCCAATTATGCTTCATTTTAATGACCATAATTCTCTGGCACTCCTGCTAGTCAACATAAATCAATCAAAGAGTAGACTGGGGCATGGCAGGCTATTTCTGTGTAATACAACCCCAGCTCTCAACCCATGATTGCCGACAAAAGAAACTATTTCAGCGTTGTGGTGGTTTGTCCTCTTTCACCCCGGATAATTCCACAAACAGAGATGGACAAAACCTGAAGCAGCATACAGTTTCTGTAATTATGTCACTAATTTTGCATTTTTTCCTGTTACTTTTCCACATGCTATTTTAAAGCTATTATTCTCACTTCTGTCTCCAGCCAAGTTTTTGAGAGCAGACATTCACGTGTGCCAGAGCAGCAGCAAGGCAGTCAGAAGAGCAGCCAACTTCAAAGAAGTCATATAGAAAGTATCACCATCAGAAGTAACAGGGAGACAAGAAAAATTACAGCAACACTATCAACCTGTGCCCTCCATTAAATGAGAGAAAGCAGCTCAACTGAGAAGGACACCTGCTTTATAACAGCTTAGAGTAGAATATAATTCCCAATTTCTACCTTTTTTGACTGATTTGATGAGAAAGAGATTGATTTGCTCTCTTTAGTGCAAACACCATCTTGCCAAAAGGCCCATCCTTTCCCAGCACACTAATGAGGCAGGCCTATCAGTACCTGGAGACAAGAACCACCTCTCCTTCTTATATAACTACTTCTGACTGGCTCCAGAAGTATCCTTCACCAGCTCTCTGAAAGAGCAGACAGACAGTTTTGCACTGCAGTGCTGCCTTCAATGCCAGTTTTCCTAGAAGAGCTCAGGAAGGAGAAAATCCTTTCCTGAACTTACTCACGTGTTCATAAAGCTCACTTCAAAATTTAGTGTTTTATAAACCTATGTTGTATAAAATGAAGCGTTAAAAACTCCAAATTTAAAATGCTGTGAACTATAAAGAATCCAAGTACAGTGTATTAAACATTAATATGAAGTCGTGTTTCTTACTCTGTCCATGGATTCTGTAGTGTTATCAATCTAACATTTTAAAAACATCTGAGGACCGTCATCTATCTTTTATTCATCTGAAAATTAAATTAAAATGCAGAATAAGTGTTAAGCACCTCAGAGTAGACTAATCTTGCCTCACAGAATCATTCAGGTTGGAAGAGACCTCTAAGACCATATAGTCCAACCCCAACCCACCCCCACCACACCATGTTCC